TGTGGATCTAAATGAGTGGGGGGAGGGCGCCAGGGGAGGCTCGCTGTGCTCCAGGGCTTCTAAGGTTTTTTGTTTGTTGGTTTGTTTTGTCTTATGTTGTTTTGTATTTGTTTTGAAGTGCTAGGGACCAGTGGTTAAGTGCACCAGACAAGTGGTCTAGCACTGAACTAGGCCCTCAGCCCTCAAGTACTTCTGGAGACCTCTGACCCCACTAGATCTCACTAGATGCTCTTAGGACAGGTTCTATGCTCAGCTATGAGGGAAACAAAGCACACTTGAGTGTCTCCTCCGCCCACATCCCTAAACAATCCCCACGTACACAGTGTACTCACAACGCCTGCCAAAACCCACAGAAATGAAGCCGTCTCACCTTTCTTCAGAACTTGGGAATTATATAACACACTAACTTGCCTCACCACAGAAGGCTCGAGGACACCCAGTAAACATTTAGTCACAGGGAAAAATACCAGTTCGGAATGTTGTTTGTGTTCTCTGGCTCCTATAGTGTACCTGGCACTGAGTGGCCACTCAATTGCTCTTTGAAGAAAAGTTTCAGTTGTTTCATGGTGACCCTGACAGGACTTGGGTTAGGTACACACCAGTTGACCTTTGCTACAGAGCCTCAAACATCGAAACTCCGGCCTGTCTGTGGAGGTTGAGCATCTGGGAAGAGCAAAGAACAAGAAAGACACCAGGGAGACCACCACCTTGACTTTCCCAGAACAACAGCCACCTATGCATGTCCAGAGTGCCCATCCTGCCTGAGTCCTTTGCCAGGTCGCAAGGCAGCTTCTCTAGAAGCCTTTTCACTTTGTTTCTGGAGACTAACCCTCTGCGCTCAGGTGGCATTTTTTCCAGAGGCTTTAGGTGGGTGCCAGGAGGTCACCCAGCAAGCTCTCTGCTGGCAAGCTGAAGAGCCACTCTCCCAGCTCTGTAGACAACCAAACACCAGCTCTGCCCCAGGAGCCCCTCCTAGGCCTCAGAAATGGTTGATTGGTTAGGGTTAGGGCAAGGGCACCTTGCAGGAATCTTAATTAACAACAGGTTTCGGGCAATGCGGTTGGAGTAGAGACTTAGGGAATGTCAGAGGAGCCAAAGAGTTGGAGACGTCCCTGTCACAGGAGCTAGAAGAGACTGCCCCCTCCATTCACATTCCCATTGGTGGGTGGAGAAATTGAGACCCAGAAAGAGAGGGGCTGTGAGGGCCATTCAGCTTGATCACGCTATCCCAGAGTCCACTTTTTTCTACTTTTTCAGGCGTGTCGAGGGCCTTCAGGACAGCTCTGAGCAGGGGACTACTGAGGAAGTAACAGGGGGATGAGACAGGCCTTATGATTCCTCTGGATTCAATGGGAGTGCAGGTGACGACATGTCCCAGAAGCCCTTGGGGGGGGGTCAACACAGTAGATGTGAAGCAGTGCAAGGCTATGCGTGCTTAACTCAGCCCATGTGTGTATGGTGAAGTCCCAACCATGGCACATGGTGGCTATCAATCCTGGGGCTCACATTGGTTATATTGCCACTTGTAACAATGTGACATGGTGGCTACCCAAGGCAGCTGGTATTTGTGATGTTGTCCCTGTAATCGGGAGCTTGGGAACATGACCATATGTGATGGGAGTCTGTGTCTCTTCGTTCTCGTGGTCTGAGATTGTGCATGCATTCGAGAGCTGTCCGGGTTTGTGCATGTGAACGCGACCAGCGGGCAATCCTGAAAGGAAACTGACCATAAAATCTTTCATGCTTGAATTGTCACATTCGAGCTGGCCAGCGATGTTTGGCCTACTAAGATGCAGGCAGAATATAGGAAAACTGTTTTTGAAATACAGTTAACGCAAAAGGAATTATATAATACACCAACTTATCTGAGCACGGAACACTCCAATAGCCTTCTGGTCATAGGGAAACATGCCAGTTCAGAGTGTGGACTTTGTGTCCTCCAGTACTGTACCTGGTGCGGGGTGACCACTCAGTGCCTCGGCTGTTTCCTGGTGACGCCGCCTAGTCATAGTCATCTTCTAATGAACAGGCCACAAAAGGATATGGGAGAAGTGTCTAGAAGGAGTACTTGGGTCTGAGATGAAGATTTGCCATATGAAAAGAAAAAAATAAAGGAAAGCCGGGTAGTGGTGGTGCACAACTCCCAGCACTCGGGAGGCAGAGGCAGGTGGATCTCTGTGAGTTCGAGACCAACCTGGTCTACAGGATGAGTTTCAGGACAGCCAGGGCTACATAGAGAAACACTGTCGTGAAAAACAAACAAATAAAAACAAAATCAAACAAAGACTCAGCACACATGCACATGCTGTGGACAGTCTCACAATCTCTACCTTAAGTCAGTTTCAAAGGGTTTTTATTGACTTCATATTCATAGGCTGAGACTCAGAGCAGGCCTTCCTAGGGTCAGCGGAGCAAAAGGTGCTGCTGCCGCTGCTGAGAACACACTGGAGGACTTGTATGACCATAGCTATATATACATACATGTATATATGTATATTATGTATATATAATGCCTGGTTGACATGTGGTGGCGGGTATCCAGACCTGTCACTTATGGAACCTACTAGAGCAGGCCCCTGAGGGTGTCCAAGAACTGGGTGGCCTGTGCATGATCTCACTTCATGTTCCCCAGCCTCTCTTCAGGCTCCTTGCTGATCAGCCATCCGCTTCTAGCTTTCCACACTGACTGCTTGACTGACGCAATACGCCCAAAGACTAACAGACTACTCCTTCTCTGGGGCCTAGGGAACCACGTCAAACGCCTTCACACATAGTCAGCATACAATCCTCATTCATTTAAATACGGCATTCATTCATGCATTCATTTATTCATTCGACATGTATTTATTGTGTACCCTAGGGTTGTGGGGGGGGGGCGCGGGGGTGCTGGCATGTTGCCCTCCAAAGCCCCAGGTCAGGGTAATGAAGGCACAGCTAGCTCAGCAGACCTCTCTGAGGGAGGCTAAGCAAAGAGGAACCTGGGGCTTAGTGACCTGTGGCAGTTAGCTGGGGGGAAGCACAGAACTGGTGTCACAACCAGTAACTGCATTAAGCCGACAACTCTGGAGGTCAGGAAGATGAGTGGAGTGCCCTCCTGCCAGCTGGTCCCCCCCCAGGCTGGGTCGAACATAGTCCACCCTGCTGACCCTAAGGCCTGCTTTGCCTGGGGTTGAACCTCAAGACTACAGAGCTGTCTTCTCACCCTGCAGAACAAGACCCTGCAGTTGAAGCAAGTTATTTTTGCTGTGGCAGGTTAGAAGCTGAAAGCACGTCAGCCCAGTCCACTAGACCCACTTTCTTAGCCCCCTCCCACCCCCCCCCCTCCTACCCCCCCCCTCCCCCCCCTCACCATCTTGTCTGTTTTGAATGGCTTATAACTTCTGAGGTGACCTCACTTCTGAGGTGACCTCAGGCCTCTCCCCCTTTTCCTCCCCTGTTCCATCCCCAGGGGCTGCTGTCACCATGCCTTCCACCATGGTTCTGAGAAGAACCCACTAGAATGGAAGGTTTTCAGCAGGTTCCGAGAAGATAGCTTCCATTAGCAAGCACAGTCCCGAGCTGGGTGAAGTTATTTTCTCGACAATTTATTTCCGAACAGATTATCACTGCAAACCACCTAAGGGTGCCTTCACAATGAGAATGTGTCATCCAGGAGCTGGGTTTGGTTCCCAGCACCCACATACAATCAGGGGCATATATATACATGCAGTCATTTATAAATACATATAAGAGATAAAATAAACATAAAAAGTAAAAGCATTTCTCATCATTCTGGGATGTAGCTCAGTTGATAGACAGCCTGATTATCGTGTATAAATAAGCCCTGAGTTCGATCCTGGCACTGCATAAATCAGCATTTAGATAGAGATAGGTAGACCAGGAGTATGAGGTCATCTTTAACTACCTGGGGAACTAGAAGCCAGTGTTGACTAGAAATCCTGTCTCAAAAAAAAAAAAATTAGAGGTGGAGCAGTAGTGGTTCACATCTTTAATCCCAGCACTCCAGAAGCAGAGGCAGGCGGATCTCTGTGAGTTCGAGGCCAACCTGGTCTACAAAGTGAGTTTCAGGACTGCCAGGACTATTAAACACAGAGAAACCCTGTCATGAAAAACCAAAAAAAAAAAAAGTTTAAAAAAAGCCGGGCGGTGCTGGTGCACACCTTTAATCCCAGAACTCAGGAGCCAGAGGCAGGCAGATCTCAAGAGTTCAAGGCCCACCTGGTCTACAGAGCGAGTTTCAGTACAGGCTCCATAACTACTGAGAAACCCTGTCTCGAAAAAACAAAAACAAAAAAAAAATTAACAGCCAAATATTAACAGTAGTAGAGTTTGTCTTGGTAATCTATGATCATAGGGTCTCAATGACTATTTCTTATACTTTTATGCTATTATTGCATGTGTGCATGATATAGGTGTGCGGGCACGTGTTGGTTCTCTCCTTCCACCTCGATGTGGGTTCTGAGGATCAGGTCAGTAGGTTTTCATGGCAAGTGCCTCTGGCCACTAGGCTGTGGTGCCCTCCCACCTTCTCCACTAAGCCAGAAGTACTTGTGTCCATCTGCTCTCTGTGTGCCCAAGCCCTATGGGTCCCTTAGTGCCCGAAACTTCTCACATCTACCAAGCAGATAAAGTCCAAGGGAGGAGCTGGGGAAGGGCTGAGAATGAGGACTGAAGCCCGAGGAACCCAGTAAAGAAGTGCCTTGCTACCCCTTGCACCAGGCTCCAGGACCTCTGAGAGCTCGGAGGACTAGGGCCTTCTGGCTCCTCCACTGCCCTCACCTCCGTGGGTCCCAAAGGCTTCTGTGACGCAGATCCCAGGTCTGTCTCTCAAAGACCTTAGCTCCCTAGGGCTGCTGGGACATGGGCCAGACTTCCCAGCTGTCGCTGCTCCTTTGTTAACTTCACTTATCTCAAAGCCACAAGACAGTTTTGCAGCAATAAGTGTTGGCAAGCCACCACCCTCAACTGCTCTTGCACAAGAATCGGTTAATTCAATACCAGAGTCCTCATAGGGCTTCTGGTCTTACTTCCCCTACCAGCGCCTAAGGACTTTAAGTAAACCGGAAGAGAACTCCTGGGAAGAGAGAGCCAGTGAGCCCCTTGGCTAGCCTGTGAGGAGGTAGGTGACAAGGTAAAGGCAGGTCTGGCTGGAATCCTGACTCCAGCCAACAACTGACACTTCCTGCCTGCTGCTCCCAGGAAGAGCTGACTCCAGAAAGACATTGTCCTTTCGCAGAGTCTTCACCCCAATCTTGTGTAAACCAGTTGGGGTTCTCCTGAGAAATGGAAGCGACAGGATGGAGGGTGAGGGAGAAAATGACGCGAGGATTGCAGAGACTGACACGTCTGAACTCTAGAGGAGTGGGTGGTCTGGACACTCCGGCCAGACTTCCGTATCTCCAGCTTGTAACACAAGGCCTGCTCCTCCAGGAAATCTGTGTTTGCTCCGGAAGCCTTCAGCTGACTGATGGAGGCCCACCCTCGTTATCCAGAGCAATCTCTTTCCTTTAAAACCAGCTGTTCACAAGTGTCAGTCACAGCAACATCTAGACTAGTGTTTAAACAGTGATCCATGCTCAAGCTAAGGTTACATGGGACATTTGACCATCATAGAAGCATCACTCGCTTTTTGTGTGTGAGGGAAGTGAAGCTCAGGGCCTGTGCTGACTGCTTGAGACTGGAGGGGAAATATTGGAGATGGACACTGGATAGGTGCTTGTAAGAATCAGGTTTAAAACACACATGTTGGGTGGGGTGGTGCACACCTTTAATGCCAGCACTTGGGAGGCAGAGGCAGGCGGATCTCTGTGAGTTTGAGGCCAGCATGGTCTACAGATCTAGTTCTAGGACAGCCAGGGCTACATGGAGAAACTCTGTCTCGAAACACACACACAGACACACAGACACACAGACACACACACACACACACACACACACACCTGCCTGGCTTTCTCATGTCCATGACAGGTAGTGGTTGTTACCCTTCTATTGTTAACATGCAGAAGGGATAGAGATATTGGAGCTAGGCAAAGAGACAGAAAGAAAAAGATCCTGTTTTCTATTACTAGAAGAAAGTTTTGTGGTGTGGGGCAGAAGAGCCTGTCTCCTTCCAGAGACTCCCAAAATGGGAAGAAGCTCAGAGTCACTGACCATACAGTGATGGGAATGGGTGATGTTCCCAAGTGTGTGGGGTCTGGAAGGAGTCCTGCCTCCTGAGATCCTGGCTGGCTACAGTGTGGTCCTGGGACTCCAGTTGGACCAGGCACCCAAAGTACAGAAACACCTCCACTGAGACCTAAGACCCTCGATGCAGCTACAGCCTGGTTCCTTGAAGTTTTTCTCTAAGTTTGAAGACCAACAGTCAGCCACACTTCCCTCTTGCTACCTGTATACAAGTTACCTGTCCTGGACTCTGTACCATATAGGGACTAATTGTGGCACTATCCTGTACGGCTGCTTCAAGAGGAACCTGAAGTTGGCAACAGTAACAGCATCTGACCAAACACATGAATGTATTTGCTAACTGCATTTTTAGCAACTGTCCCCCCGACCATGCACACCTAGATATACTTCCCCTCTGAGTCCCTAATCCCTCCCTCCTTCCATCTCTCTCTCTCTCTCTGAGACAGGAGGCTCTCAGATAGTCCTGACTAGCCTGAACTCACAGAGATCTGTCTGCCTCTGCCTCCAGGATGCCGGGATTGCAGGCATTTGCCACCATACTGCAGCCTTTGCTCACTTTCTTGGCTTCTCCCTCCTTTTTGTTCCTCAAAGAATGAAGAGTTGAAGAGTAGGCCTTTAAATGCCTATGGGATGATAGACCAAGGCCCCTGTTGTGGGTGATAACCACATTGCTTAGGATAGAAAGACAGGGGGAAATAAAGGGACGTGGGAAGGGAATGGAGGGGCTAGTCCAGAGTCCGCCAAAGCCTTTCAGTTCTAGCACAGGGCTGATGAGATGGCTCAGCAGGTAAGGGTGCTTGCCACCAAGCCTGATGATCTGAGTTTGGTCTTCCGTGAGGTGGAAGGACAGAATCAGCTTCTTTCAGAAAGTTGTCCTCTTATGGCTTCTACGTGTGTGCCATGGTGTGTGTACACCTCCCCCTAAAATAAATAAATGTTAAAAAAATAGCTTAAGAATATTCCAGTACAACTGACACATTTGCTATGAAGGTTGCCCACACAGAGACAAGATTCCTTTTATGCAAAGATATTTTAAATAAGAATTCTGAGATAGCAATGGATCATACTAAGGTCTAGGTGGGGGTGTATATATGGTCTTCCTCCTTTGCCAGCTATAAATCTGCTGTTTTCTAGAAATATCACAAGAAATTTCCATTTACAGTAAAAGATGGGTCCTAACACTCTTGGGAAACCCTTGTAGCTCACTGCTTTTGTCTTACTAGGTTGTAGTCCTGTCCTAGGCACCTCTAGATCTACCCTATACTTTCATTTATCCAAGGAGAGGACAGGGTCTGGTGTGGTGCTGTACTCCTTTGAACTCAGAACTCAGCAGAGGCAGGTGGATCTTGGTGAGTTTGAGACCAGCCTAGTTTACATAGTGAGTTCTAGGCCAGCCAGAGCTACACAGTAAGACCCTGTCTCAAAAAAAAAAAAAAAAGAAGGAGGAGGAGAAGGAAGGGGAAGAAGAAGGAGGAGGATGAGGAGGAGAAAGCCCAGTGTGGTAGCTCACACCTTTAATCTCAGCTCTTGGGAGGCAGAGGCAGGCAGATCTCAGTGAGTTCACAAGACTAACCCTGCCTATATAGAGAAACCCTGTCTTGAAGAAAAAAAAAAGGGCAGGGTGGAGGGAAGAAGAGGCGGATGAAGAAGAGGAAGAAAATAATAAAAAGAAGATGGCAAAGAAAGAAAAGCAGACGTTTCTTAGCAACCATTTGGGAGGGACCTTTAAGAGCTCCCAAGTCAGGTCTGTGGCTCTCCTCAGAGGGCTGGATATTACTCCTGAAAGGTCCATTGTTTCGGGAGACCCTGTAGTGTTCTGCAGCTGGTTTGACTCGGGAGTGTTAACAGTATCTGGTATCTTCTGTTTGAAGTATGTAAATCTTATCTGAGAGTTTCCTAAAGGTTCCAAACCTCTGCAAAACTTGGTCATAGGAGCTAGGAATTCACATTGGCAGCGCCTCTTTGGAAGCTTCAGATAAGAACTTTTGGTGTATGGAAATTGGCTTGCTAAAAGATGTAAATTCAATAACAATAAAGGAGCCCTTGGCTAAGCTAGAGACAGTCAGTTCCCCAGAGGCTGACTCCCTTGCAGCTAGAAAGGTTAAAAACCATCCTCCAGTGCCTGTTTTTTCTCTCCACGATCGCATGAACCCAACACTATACACAACAGTCCACAGCCACACTTGGTTGTATTTGGTCTTTCCCCAAGAACTTCTTTTTCTACCAACTCTCTACTTAAAGCTATGTTAAAACAACAAAGAAAACAATGTTCAACCTTCTCCCTAATCTAACTTTGCTTCACACTGGCTCTTCCTAAAATTCTTTCTTCAGCCAAGTCAAGAATCTCTCTTCTAGGGAGTAGAGGTCTCCACAGAACTTAGGCCACTGCAGGCAATGCAGGCATGCAGCTGACTAACAGGGGAAATCTGGCTGCAGCTGATTGGGACTGCCACCTTCCCATCTGTGACTATATCTGTCTTCCCCTGTTGTCTGATTGGCTCAAGCTTCTCTGGTGTCCATCATGTTTCTCTTCCTCACGAGGCTTCCTGGCCTTCGCGAAATCCTTGGCTCCACTGCTCTGTCTCAGGTTGCCTCTCCTTGATACCAGGCCTCAGCCCTGACCAGAATCCACCTCCCACCTCCTTTTCCTTTTCCCCAAGAACCCTGGCCCACATCAGGACTTCTCCTGGATTCTGTTTCCCCAACAGCTCAGGAGACCATAAGTCAAGGTGAGAAGAGAGATCAAAGACAGCCTGTGCCTGGACAGAGTGGAAGATGGCCAACAGGATGGAGGCTCAGCCTGAGGACCTGCCCATTGGTGAAAATGCCTCTGCTAAAATCCCTGGTTGATGTTGTCATGAATCATGACAAGAAACAGCTTCACAAAAGAAGCCTACAAGGGGCTGGAGAAATGGCTCAGCAGGTAAAGGCACTTACTGCCAAGCCAGAGGACAAACCCTTAACATGCGTGCGTGTGGAAGCCAGGGCAGAAGCAGGCAGGTTTCTGTGAGTTCAAGGTCAGCCTGGTCTACATAGCAAGTTCCAGGTCAGCCAGAGCTACATAGCAAAACCTTGTCTAAAAAAAAAAAAGTTACTTTAACTGGTGAACAAAACATGAGTGTGGACAGCAAGTGTCACCTTCTGGATTACCTTGAGGACAATGTGACCCCTATATTTCTTCAAGATGATTTAGAAATGGAAACAATGCTAACAAATTTGACGGTTTCTTTGGCTAGCTGAAAACCCTACACCCAGACAAATGGGACTGATGTCATTTTGACGTCATCTATTTTGACCCAGATTTGTTTGCAATAGAGGCATTGATTTTGTAAATTACTGTTATATTTTTTCCCCTGAGACAGAGTTTCTCTGTGTAGCCTTGGTTGTTCTGGAACTCACTCTGTAGACCAGGCTGGCCTGGAATTTAGAGAGGTCGCCTGCCTCTGCCTTCCAAGTGCTAGGATTAAAGGCAAGTGCTGCCACTGCCCGGCTGTAAAATATGTTTTTATTAATTTACTGAGTTTGAATGCATGTGTGTAGAGGTCAGAGGACAACTTTCAGGAGGTGGTTCTCTCCTGCCATGTGGATCTTAGGGATTGAACTCAGACTGTCAGACTTGGCAGCCAGTCATCTGGTTAGCCTGGCATTGCTTTTTAAGTTGAAAACAAACAAACAAACAAACAAGTTATGTAGGTTCTCTTAAAAAAACTAAAAACAAAACATAAAAACAAAAACAAAAAATTAAAACAAAATATAAGATATCTGAGTCAAGCAGATATCTAGGCTATAATTTGTTGTATACGGCTGGAAGTCTAGATTCTGGGGATCTCTGGAGCCTTCTGGGGATTTTCTGATCTCTAGAATGGGGTTGGGGTGGGCTGTCCTGAAAGAACCCTAATGAAAACCTGCTTCTGGAAGCATTAACAGCCTTGTTCTGTTGTGGGATATCCACCAGAGAAGACTGTTCAGACATGGGTATAAACCAATAGAAAGTCTTTATTAGCTGGTCCACAACTACACTGGGTGTTTGGGATCTCAGTGTAGTACTGAACCTTTCTCAGGGTGGCTTTTTATTTGTCTATTTTTTTTCTTTTGATTTTTCGAGATAGGGTTTCTCTGTAGCTTTGGAGCCTGTTCTGGAACTAGCTCTTGTAGACCAGGCTGACCTTGCACTCACAGAGATCTGCCTGCCTCTGCCTCCTGAGTGCTGGGATTAAAGATGTGTGCCACCACCGCCCAGCTTCTCAGAGTGGCTTTTAAGCACAAAAACCATGTTCTGGGATGACATATTTCAGTTGACAAGAACAGTTAGCCAGAAGAGGAACTACAGAAGTCAAAAAACAAAATTAGTACATTTAGAAACTTCCCCAGAATTATAGACTTTGATAGATGAGGCCTTTATTTTAGTTTTGGCAGGTGGTGCTGTCTGTGTGCTGAGTTTTATAGCCTGAATGGTAGGTGCATCCATCATGGAGTCTGTTGTGCTAAGGTATGGTGTCCTGTTATAGCTCCCCTCCAGCCAGAGTCCCCAATCTCATACTCAGCTTCATGAACAGAAGTCAGGGTCTACTCCCCTCCCCTTCCCCAAGATAACCAGCACCTGAAGTCACTCCAAAGGCAGGGACAAAACAAAGCAAGTACCTCAGTCTCTCTCCTCAGCCTCTACAGTCCATCTCACACAATTGCTCTTAAGCCCTGTCGTTGTAAACCTGGAGTTCACATTTCCAGCCCTCTGGGGCAGAGCCAGGCTGCCCAGTAGCCCTCACCTACTTTAACATATGAGTACTGGCCCAAGATGTTCCTCTGGTCCAAAGCTATAGGAAACAGCAGCAGCCTGGGCTGGAAAACTTTCTTTTCTTTTCAGTTTAGCCTTGCATTGCTGGGAGTTAAATCTAGGACAGTGCGCATGCTAGGTAGCACTGCCCCCTGCTACCAGGGTCTCCTTGAGGGGAAACTGAGGCCAGAGAGTGGTAATCAGTAAGATTGGCTAGTGAACTTGTCATGGAGGGGTGCTCCTGAAAACAGCTCGTGGGGCCCAGAGTAAGGAGTGGAGATTCTGGGGGGCAAGGGTTGACATTTTCCTTTTGCCTTGACCGCTGGCCCGGTGCTTTGTGTAGCAGCCCTTGACCATGACAGTGACGCAGACTGGCTGACAAGTAGTAAGGTCTGCACGTCATTCCTAGAATGAAGGCTGACCTTGCCTGAACTCTAGCGGTTTGGGCACCCTGCTCAGGGCCAGAGCAATGGATAAAGAGTTTATATTGCAGGTCAGGAGAAGTGGCGGGAGGATGCAGGGGGAGTAGGGTAGGGAGGGAAAGGGAAGGGGGGCGAACCTTGGAGGAGGGAGTACTTAGCCTGGGAGCAGCCCCCAGGGGAGGATGGCTGCCAACCTGCACAGGCTCACTGAGGCACAAACCAAGGCAGGTGAGGTCACTCCTACTTCACAAAGATGGAAGCTGAGGACTGGAGTATCTGCTCAGGAAGCTGGACTGTAGCCGGACTAGGATTAGGATTCTTCAATTTACCTTTGTCCTCTGAGGTCTTAAACACAAACCACTGGAATGGCATATCCCAACATGTGACCCTAAGAGACCCAATGCCCACCAAACCGGAAGGGTGGTCTGTTTAAAATACAGACTCCTGGTTCAAAAACTCGAGGAGTGTAAACTGGGCAGTGGTGGCATACGCCACCCAGCACTCACCAGCAGAGGCAGGTGGATCTCTGTGAGTTCGATGCCAGCCTGGACTACAAGAGCTAGTTCCAGGACAGGCACCAAAGCTACAGAGAAACCTTGTCTCGAAAAAACAAAACAAACAAACAAACAAACAAAAAACCCAAACAAACAAAAAAATTGAGGCGTGTAGCCCAGAGACCTGCATTTTGGGCAGAACCTTGGTAACGATGCTTTGGGTTCTGACACTGTGGCTCATTTAAGGCCCGTCTGGTCTCACCTCCTGCCCCAGCTTCTGGCTGTTGTATACAAGTGGCCAAGCTACACAGGCTGACTCACACACCACGCTCCCCTCCCACAGGCCTGGGACTCTCCACTCCTGTTTTTACCCAGCATTCTCCCGGCACCACATAGACCCACCCTTCCAGCCAGCGCCTACTTCTCTTCAGGATGCTTCCTGGTGACTGGAGTCTCCCTCCTTCCTGTTGAAGTAATAGTTCCTCTATTTGGGATTGTTTTACAACATCCTATTCCTATTTCACTTTCCTTGTGGGTGGGCCTCCTCGTCCCCTAACCTCCGCCCCTTATTAAACAGGAAATTCCCAGAGAGCTGGCTCCCATGAGTTTAAACAATAAGTCTCTGCAGTCATGACTTCACCCTGACACTCCTGCCGATGACAAGCTGCGGAGCTGGAAAAGCTTCGCAAATGAAGAAATCAAGCCTTGGCTGTGAAGGCCAAAGCCTCTGGAAATTCAGAGACGGGTTTAGAATTCATGTCTGCTCCAATACTCAGCTCTGCGTCTGCTTTGCTGCTCACCACCTAACCGGTTCCTAAGACAGCTAGACAGTGGGCATTATGATCCCATTGCTCGGATAAGGAAAGTGAGGCCCCGAGCAAGAGCAAGTGCAACCAAACCAGCACCAGGTCTAAGCTCTGAGTTCAAGTACTGGCCTTCTCTCTCCTCTCCAGCTGACAGGTGCTACCCCTTAGCAAAGTGGGAGCCAGGTCCTGGACAACTTGAACGGAGCCCTCTCCCTGGCATGCTCGCAGTGGATTCAAGTGTCCCCTCAGCAGTCTCAGGCTCACTATGCCAGCTAACTGGGTATTTGGGGGAGAACCAGGAAGTACACATCCATCTTTATTACTCTGGACTTTGTTCTGCTTATTGATGTCCAGCTGGGAAAGAAGCATCCAGAATGTTTTTTTCTTCAACGCAGGAGGGCAGCTCTTGACCTGGCACAGGTCCAGTCTGGGGCAAGCTGAGAAGGGTGTGGAATAAGGAGGCCAAGTTGGCATTCCTGAGAGACTGCCAGGCCCCTCCCCTCAGGTAAGGTCTCAGGAGTCTCAAAGGAGGCAGGACTCAAACTCTGATTCTTCCAGGCGAAGAATCAACCTGCCTCCATTTTAGGCTTAAAAGCCACCTTATAGTAAAGACAAACTTGGTTCATTCCTGATTATGGTTAAATCTGTTCCTCAAGGATTAGGCTATACCCCACCTGTAACCTTTACTACACATGGTTCTGCTCTGCCTATTCCAGGAAATGGCAACTGTGTCTTTGTTTCAGTTTTAATCATCTTGAAAACCTTAGTTTCAAAAGGTTGTTATGACTACCTGTTGTTATGTTCACCTTATGACCACCTTGCAATTGTTTCAAGAGGTCATTAGGACTAACTTGCTATGCTATGTTCTGCTGCTGTAACCCCACCTATTTTGCCTGCCAAATTCCCCACTTGGAAACCCCCTACCCTGAGCTATGAAAACCATGCTTCCTTACATCCAATGCTGACTTCTCAAACCCTGCTTTGGGGTAGGGGGCAGACCATGTACACAAATAAAAAAAAACTTGCCTTAATTAACTGCTTGCTCTAATTAATTTGGCCAAGAAGATCTGGGTTAGTGTACTCCTCCCATCTTTAGGACTAACACAGAATGGAGTACTAATCCATTCAACTGGTGTACATCACGGCCAGCAAGGACTTTGGACGGTGCTCAATAGAAAATAAACATGAGCTAATTAAGTCTTGCGGCACTTTATGTAACCCCAGCATTTGAGACAGAAGTCAGAGAATCTGGGGAAGTCTGAGGCAGCCTGGTCCACAGAGCAAGACCCTGGCTCTTGAAAACAACAAAAACAGGGTCTGGGCTGTAGCTCAACTAGCAGAGTTGTTGCCACAAGCCCCTGGGTTCAATCCTCAGTGCTACACACTCCAGACATGGTGACTCATACCTGTAATCCCAGCACTGGGGAGGCAGAGGCAAGATGACTAAAAATTCAAGGTCATCCTTTTTAAAAAACTTTGAGGCCAGCCTAGATTTGCTATAGAAGATCTTGTCTCAAAATAAAAACAAGAGCCAGAAGGTTGTGGCACATGCCTTTAAACCTCAGTCCTTGGGAGGTAGGGGCAGGTGGATCTCTGTGAGTTCGGGGTCAGCCTGGTCTACAAGGCGAGTCCAGAGAAACCTTATCTCAAAACAGCAAACACAACAAAACCCAAGCGCAATAACTTACGGCTGTTAAACCCTGTGTCGGGCTCTTGCTGTAATGTCGCCCTCACCATCTGGAAGGCTAGCACTATGAGCTCTGGGCTCCAACTAGCCAGTTCCTCAGTTCTCTCTCTCTTCAGTTCGGACCAGAATGTGCTACCACTGGGTTCCCTTCTGCTGCTGCTTGTTCCGTCCGATGTCCAAGACTCCTCAGCACATCCTCACCAGGACCATTCTATTCTTGGGCCATCCATCCAGTAGAAAAGCCCTGTCATTGTCACAAGCGAAACTAAGCCCCTAGTTAATTAGAGTTCTATTATCTGTAACCCCTACCTCTAAGTCCAAGAAACCCTTTTACTACTAGCAGGCAGGTTTCTGAGTGGTTGGTTTACACTCTACAATGGGGCGTAGGGGTCTGACACACAGGGCTGTTCGTGGAAGGTGACAGAGGGCCGAAGGATGGGGTCCAAAAAGGAACTTGCCCGCCCACCCCCTTGCCCTCCTGGTCTTGGAAGCCTAGGCCTGAGTCACAGTCCATCAGCTGGAGCTGAGCCCACACGGAGAGACCTGCCTCCTTCCTCTGCCGACTCCGGCGCGCGTGCGCCGGAGAGGCCGCGCCCACGGCGCATGCGCAGCGGTCACTCTGGCTCTATATTAGGGCCACACATAGCAGTTGCGTCCCCTAGGCTGCTATAGCGGACAAGGGCATTGGTCCATTTAGCGCCCTCCATTCGAGCGCCCACCGCCGTCCCGTCGAGAGCCCGCGCAGGTAAGGGTCGCGCTCAGTGGTCGCGGGAGGCCGGCGCGCCCCGCCACCGCGGCCACACGCCCCATCCCCTTCTGGCCCCCACCTTGGCTCAGCGTCCACCACCACCACCCCATCTTTACCTCTTAGGCTACCTCAGAGGCCCGGTTCCGTCCTCTCCTGTCATTCGGCATTTGACAGGCGGCTTCAGAATCTCCTTCCTACCCTTGCGACCCCGGGGAACCTCTGACTCACCGCTGACCCCTTCCACCAGCCCGATTCTCTGGGCTGGCTAGCCCTGCTCCTGTCCGAGTCAGCCCTGACCCTATCCTTTTTTCTGCTCCCTTTCCCGATTCCAGCTGTAGGGGCATGACCTTGTCTCGGGAACTCAAGGCTGGTCTAGACTCTTTCCCCTTCCTCGGGTTGCTAGGGTCCCCAGGCGTCCTCCCTACCTGTTTAGGCGACAGTGACTTCGCTAGCCTGGCTGTTGCCGCTGTGTGTTTGCTAAGGTGCGCACTCCTCGAGGAGCCTACGGCCTCCCACACCTATTCTGCTTTGTCCTTCATCTCTTCCACCCTCTTGGTCATTCGTTGTTAAACGTCCCTCTTTACTCTGGAGAAGTTGCATTGCCGGAGGGCTTTTATGTAGGTGGAGAATAAAGTGGTGGCCAGGGTAGAGTGTGGCCGCCACTCCTTTACTGAGTCCTACCTCGGTGCTGTCCGGTGCTGTCGTTAGTTTTGTTTGTTTGTTTGTTTTGGTTTTGAGTGAGAGGTAAGCCCAGGGCACCCTTGACATCACTCACAGTGGATTCTTCTCCAGGAGCCAGCAACCTCTGCAGACATGGAGACTGTGGTTCGAAGATGCCCATTCTTATCGCGAGTCCCTCAGGCCTTTCTGCAGAAGGCAGGAAAATCTCTTTTGTTCTATGCTCAAAACTGCCCCAAGATGATGATGGAAGTGGGAGCCAAGCCGGCCCCTCGAACCCTGTCCACTTCAGCAGTACACTGCCAGCAGACCAAAGAAACCCCTCCAGCTGATGAGAGTAAGTCGGGTTAGCAGTGAGGGACACCTCCTTGGTGGTAAGGGCCACTCTGAGGGAGGGATCAGCACTGTGCACGGGAGGGGGTCATCTTGTGTAACTGGCCTCTGACTCCTGGATTAGGAGCCTTTCATGCTCCTGGATTTAAAAGAGAAACAAAGCAGAAGCAGGTTTCTGGATTGCCTGTCAGGCCAGCTGGGTTCTAGAGTTTCCTCATTGTCTGGTGCGAGCAGCCGCTTGCAGTCTGTTCCTTGATGAAGATTTGGCCTTTGACTCGTAAAGCAGTGATTTTACAATCTGTTTAGTATTTGTTTTTTTTTTAAGTTTTTTGAAACAGGGTTTCTCTGTGCAACAGTTCTCACTGTCCTGGAACTCGCTCTGTAGACCAGGCTGGCCTCGAACTCACAGGGATTCGTCTACCTCTGCCTCCTGAGTGCTGGGATTAAAGGTGTGCACCACTGCCTGGCCCTGCTTAGCATTTTGAGGCAGGGTCTCACACTGGCCACATAGTCATGACCCCTCCTCTGCCTCCCCAGTGCTGACATCACAGACCTCAGCTACCGCTGCCGGGTTTTAATTTTTTTTTTGACGATGTATTTATGGTATTTTATGTATATGAGTGTTTGACTGCACCACATGTATGCCTGGTGTCCAAGGAGGCCAGAAGAAGGGGTCAGATCCTCTGGAGAGTTACAGATGGTTGTACCACTATCTCAGTGCTGAAAATTGAACCTGAGTCCTTTGGAAGAGCAGCAAGTGCTCCTAACCACTGAGCCATCTCTAGGAGAAGGACTTTTCGGAGTCTGCCTAATCCTAGTGAGCATTTCGCCTTCCGGGCTTCTCTTTGGTGTGAACCTGTAGGAAAGGAACGTTTGTTCTGTAAGTGAACAGGGCTCAGTCCTTCAGGGGATTTTCTGTCCAGAGTTAGTTATCTTTTCTCAGCGTGTCTGAGAAAAGTGGCCATGTTTGAGTTGAAGGCTCATTTCCTTTCTGTTGTCTAGACTGTCCACAACAGATCTGCTTGTAAAATTAAGTTAATTTCAAAATAACATTTCTTAACTTCCCTTTATAGAAAATGTTATGGAAACTGTATTGAGACACCTTACCCAAGTTGTAGAAAGAGCAGCCAGTGACTCATGGGAGTATTCCAAAATGATGAAGGAAGACTTTTCTAGAAGGAAGGTGAGCACATTGCTCAAGGGTTCGAGGAGTCACAGTAACTTAGAGCCCAAAACCAGCCAGTTGGGTTACGTCAGCAGCTCTGATGAACTTAAACGAGAAAGTAGGTGAGCTATGTGCGTGGAACCTGTATCCTTTCCGGCACACTAATAGCTTGAACCCAGAGAGGTCAGTGCAAAGATCTAAGTGGTAGCCTTTTTCTTTTTCAGAAGTATTATTAAAACTGGTTAAACTTGGGGGCTGGAGAAATAGCTCAGTGGTTAAGAGCACTGACTGCTCTTCCAGAGGACCCGGGTTCAATTCCCAGCACCCACATGGCAGCTCACAACTGTCTGAAAATCCAGTTCCAGGGGACCTGACACCTTCACACCAATGCACATAAAATAAAAGATAAATAAATCATAAAATTAAAAAAAAACTGGTTAAACTTTACTGGGAATCTATTTAGAAACTGTGAAGAGAGTAACGGTGACTGCTACTAATTGCCTTAGGGAGCATGGCTCCCCTGAAATACGCTGAGTGGACTTGAGGTAGAAATTGCTGACAGTGATCCAAGTCAAGAGCTTTGGGGGCTAAGTGCACACATAATCCCAGTGCTGAGGAGGCTGAGGCAGGAGGATTGCCAAGTCAAGTATCATGGGCTACAGAGCAAGACCCCATCTTAACAAATGGAAAAGGACTGTTGGTTTGTCTGAAAGTGTAAAATAGTGATCTTGGGTTTAGAAGAACACCTGTGAGTTTGGGTGCTCACTGGGCTGGGCCAACCAGCCCTTCAGAGGACCGCTGTACGGTGAGGCGGGCGAGAATGGATGTTAGCAGAGTTTAACAAAGGAAACTCGTGTGTGGGTTCACACACTAGAACAAGCATGAAGTTTGAGGCGCTGCGACTCGGTGACTTGCTTGTGCCCTGATGCAAGCAGGCCCTGATGCCTGTTCTTTCCATTTCCTCCCTCAGAAGAGAAAACTGCCAAAGCCGCAGTCCAGCAGGCTCCTGACGATGGCGCACAGCTCCCGTCTGGACACCCGTCACCCGCGACAAGCCAGGGCTCTGGGAGCAAGTGCCCTTTCTTGGCCGCACAGCTGAGCCAGACAGGCAGCAGTGTCTTCCGGAAGGCCAGCCTGGAGCTTCAGGAGGATGTGCAGGAAATGCATGCCGTGAGGAAAGGTAACAGAAATGACTCTGGCCAGGGGGAAGAGGGAGCCTGTCATTTGGGCCCCTGGGACCTCCGGTTTATGTGTGAGCTCTTAATAGGCCAGCATAGTACTAATGGGAATACCGTCCTCTCTAGTGCCAGAGAGGAAGGGGGATCGTCAAGCTAGACCATCCCGACTGTATTGCGAAATGTGGGACTTGCTTTCTGGTGAAGGTATAGGCAGTAGCCAGCTTCCCAAGTCATGCTCACTTTCTGGAAATAACCTGTCTTCTTGAACAGATGCCAGCATTTATTTGTCTCTTTGGTCCTTCTTACCCTTTCGAAGGATAGACGGTAGAACCATAGTATTACTGCAGTAATACTAGCTAGCTGTTTGTCCTTCTGGTGGTCATGGGAGAGCAACCTTACCCTCATCGAGCTTCCAACCACCCCTAAAAGCCTTAGCATGCTGAGCATGGCACATACCTTGAATTCCAGTACCTGGGAGGCAGAGGCAGGAGGATCAATGTGAGTTTAAGTTCAACCTGGTCTACATAGACAGTTCCAGAATATCCATGGCTGCTTAGAGAGGCCCTATCTTGAAAAAAGAGCTGGGCAGTGGTGGCGCACGCCCTTTAATCCCAGCACTTGGGAGGCAGAGGCAGGCGGATCTCTGTGAGTTCAAGGGCTAGTTCCAGGTCAGGCTCCAAAGCAATGCAGAGAAACCCAGTCTTGAAAAACCAAAAAAAAAAAAAAGGAAGGCTACCTCAGTAAAAGTTGCTATCATGCAAGAAGTATTCAGGAGGGGAGTAGGCTGTGCTAGGAGGCGTGCCGGCCAGCTGGGAGCCTTAGGCTCTAATTCGTGTCCGTTGGAACTGGCTGATAGCTATGAAAACAAAATAACATTGAAGCCTGTACCCTCAGGACTACACATGCAAGGCAAGAGGGTCTTGAGTTCAAGGCCAGCCTGGGCTACAACAATACTCCATTTTGAAAAGCCCAAAAGCAGCCCAGGATCAAATGCCACTATATAATAAGCACACTAAAGGAGGAGACATTCTATATACTCATTACAACTAACTGATCATAATTTGGTTATGATTGGCTTCTTTTCATGAAGTAGACAATAGGCTATTCTATTGGTTTTGTGTTTTGTTTTGAGACAGGGAGGGTTTCACTGTGTAATGCAGTCTGGACTCGGATTTGTAGAGATCTGCCTCTCTCTGCCTCCCGAGTGCTGGAACTAAAGCCATGTATCAAGATGCCCAGACAACAAGATATTTTTTTTGAAAAATTTGATTTTAATGTTTTGCTTGTATGTATATCTGTGCCCCAAAATGTGCCTAGTGCTCAAGGAGGCCAGAAGAGGATGTCAGATCCTGGAACTAGTTACAGACAGCTGAGCTACCATGTGGATACTAGGAATCAAACTCAGGTCCTCCAGGAGAGCAGCCAGTGCTCTTAGCTGATGAGCTAGCTCCAGCTGTGCCTGCCCACCCCCATAAACTATTATGCCTAGAAGGTATTGTGAACTAAGAATAAAAAGTCCATCTTTTATGCCTCGTGTTACTTTTGCCATAGAGGTTGCCCAGAACTCTGTGACCCCCAGTGTAACCAGTGTGAAAACCGGTGGAGAGGATCCGAGCCAGCAGCTAAAGAACTTCCAGGATATCATGCGGAAGCAGAGGCCAGAAAGAGTGTCTCATCTTCTTCAGGATAATTTGCCAAAATGTGAGTCTTGTCGTTTGTGAGTTAATCGTATGTCAGATTAGAGGCGAAGTGGCGTGGGGAGGGAGAGCCCTGTGGTCCTTGCTTGAGTACTGTTGGGCTCAGTGGCACTGAATGCCACTGATTATTGGCCTCCTCTCTTTTGTTACCCATCGCCTATGTACTGGACAGTATACCCAACACTTGACAAGTGCAGTCTTGTTTACCCCTCATGGTACTGGGACATCATTCTAGTCCTGAATATAGTCATGAAATGGCCAAGCTGAGATCTGAACTCAGGTCTGTCTTTCCTCCAGACCCGGAGAGTCTTCTTAAAAAAAACTGCGCTGTCTTTTGTTTGTTTTTATTTTAGCTGTTTCCACTTTTCAATATGATCGCTTCTTTGAGAAGAAAATTGATGAGAAAAAAAATGACCATACCTACCGAGTTTTTAAAACTGTGAACCGGAGAGCACAAATCTTCCCCATGGCAGACGACTACACGGACTCCCTCCTCACCAAAAAGCAGGTGTCAGTCTGGTGCAGTAACGACTACCTAGGCATGAGTCGCCACCCGCGCGTGTGTGGGGCAGTCATGTAAGTAACTGGCATTATTTGGCAAGACATAGATGGTGTATACAACTGGACGTTTTGTGGGAGAATATTTAGTCACTGTAAGTGTGCCACGGTGATACTGCTGTTCCCTGTAGACACAACTCTCCGTCCACTGGTCCAGGAGTTCCGGGATTGAGCGCAGGCCACCAGGCTTTACAGCAAAGCCCCTGCCTGCTGAGCCATCTCACTGGCACATGTTCTCAGCCTTTGATAACCACCACTATTGACTTTCTTAGAGACAAATATGAAGATAGTGGAAAAGGCTATTTCAGGATGATGTGTTTAAAAGGATGGAGGTCCCATCTTTGTCCTTCAGGAGGACCGCCATGGCTTGAGAGAGTTGCTCATCAAATTCTCCAAGGACTTGCTAAAGAGAGTCCCATGTGAGGTTGAGCAATAGCGTTTGCATATGTCCTAATGTGTGACTGCTTTGCAGTCTTCTAGAGTGTGCTTTCTCTTAACTTATTGTTGGGGCAATGATTATTCTTAGAAAAAGAAGCCTTAGTTTAAGTTACATGGCTAATATGTCTTAATGACTGTTAAATGAACACTTACGCTGAAAGATTTATTTATTTTATGTGTACAAATATTTTACCTGCACGTCTGCCATATGTTTGCCTTTGAGGTCAGAAGAGGTTTTTGGATCTTCTGGAACTAGGAATTGAACCTGGGTCCTCTGAAAGAATAGTTAATGCTCTTAACCACTGAGCCATTGCTCCAGTCCCTGAACACTTACTTATTCTTAACAATCCCGCTAAGATTTAGGCCCAGGTTTCATAATAAGAGAGATCCTAGATAAAATCAACAGAATTTTCATTCTCTTGGGTTCTGGAAAGAGGACCAATTTATATGATGTTTAGAACCATGGGTTAAAAGGTTCTTTTTTAAAAAAATAAAAAATAAGTTGGGCATAGTGGTGCATGCTTTTAATCCCAGCACTTGGGAGGCAAAGGGTCTCTTTTAATTCAAGGCCAGCCTGGTCTGCATAGTGAGTTCCAGGATAGCTAGAGCTACATAGTGAGATCCTGTTTCAAAAAACAAAAACAAACAAACAAAAAATTAAAATGAAATAAAAGTAGAACCATGAGTTTTCTTGCTTAGTTGAAGTATAATTATGGTTTTGTTGTTGTTTTTTGTGTGTGCTGGGGTTACAGGCACATACTCCATGTGTGTTTATGCAGTACCAGGGATTGAACCCATGGCTTTTTATATACTAAGTAAGCACTCTACCACCTGAGCTCCAGCCCCAACCCTAAAGTGTTTGTGTGGCGGGGGGTGGGGGGTGGGGGTGGTGGGGATGGGTGGATGGGGTGTGCTTAGAGGCCCGAGGGCAGCCTTAGGTCTTTGCTCCATAGCCTTTTATCTTTGTTTTTTGAGAACCCCTCTGCTCCAGTGCTGGAGTTGTAGGAATATAAGACCCCTGGATTTTAAATGAATTCTGAAACTGGAGAGGTGGCTCAGAGATTGAGAGAACTGGCTGTTCTTCCAGAGGTCTTGAGTTCAATTTCCAGCAACCACATGGTGGCTCACAACCATCTATAGTGAGATCTGGTGCCCTCTTATGGCCTGCAGACATACATGCAGACAGAACTCTATATAAATAGTACATAAGTAAATCTTTAATAAGTAAATAGATGAGTTCTGGAGATCTGAACCCTGGCGTATTAGTATTTCACTTATTTTTAACAGGGAGACTGTGAAGCAGCATGGTGCAGGAGCTGGTGGAACTAGGAATATTTCTGGAACCAGCAAGTTCCACGTGGAACTGGAGCAGGCGCTGGCCGACCTCCATGGCAAAGATGCAGCACTCTTGTTTTCCTCCTGCTTCGTCGCCAACGACTCCACCCTCTTCACCCTGGCTAAGATGATGCCTGGTAAGGAGGCCTTGTGTCAGCATCCTAGCACGTTTGAGGGGTCTGCATAATGACAAGAGCATTGGCTACTCAGAAGGCCCGCTCCAAGTCAGCCTGGCAGCCTGGATCAGCACAAGGTGCTGACTGGGAGTTCCAGCAGAACGTGGTCAGTGATGACTGAAACATGGAAGGTCCTGTCCTGAAGCCCCTGACTCGATTGTAGTCATATTCTAAGAAGCCCCTTTAGCAAATGCTTCATTGCATTTAGTCATATCTTCATTGAGTTTGAAATGAGGTACCCTTTTTTTTTTTTTGAGACAGTTTTTGTTTTTGCACATAATCTTACTGTGTAACACAGGCTGGCTTCAAACTGTTGGTTCTCCTGCCTCAGAATGCTGGACTTTTAAGTATGTGACATTGTGGCTTTAAGGATTGTTCTCCATGGTTTTTGTGTTCTGTGTTTCATGATGTTGGGATGGAATGCAGGGCGTCAGCTCATGTAAATCAAATGCCTTGCAGCCGAGCTCCATCCTAAGAGCCATGGGCTTTCTCTGCCTTTGCATTTTCCGAGAAGAGAAGCAGTAGCTAGTTACCATATCAGCACAGATACTGACTCAGTGTCTTTCATAGTGGACACTTTCAAGACACTGTCAGCAGGAAAAGACCTGTTGTACCTGTCCAGGATGTCGAGTGTCTTTGATGCCTCTGCCCCTAAGTTGCATTTTTCTTACGTCAGGCTGTGAAATTTACTCTGACTCTGGGAACCATGCCTCCATGATCCAAGGGATTCGCAACAGTCGAGTGCCAAAATATATCTTCCGCCACAACGATGTCAACCATCTCAGAGAACTGCTGCAAAGATCTGACCCCTCAGTTCCCAAGATTGTCGCATTTGAAACTGTTCATTCCATGGATGGTAAGCCTGTGCTGAGACCAATCAGAAGCCTGAGATGTGGAACCAGCCTTGAACTGTTTAAAAAGTACAATGTGTGGGCTCAGGGGATGTAACTGGTCGTCAAGCTTCTGCTTCACGGTGTCTCCGGCTACACCCAGTGCCAGGAACAAACAAAAATAGGATGTTTCCTTTGGTTTTGCATCTTTGTCTCTGCTGGGATTCTGTAATTGAGAGACACTGTATGGAGGGGGGAACTGGGTTTCTGCTCTGGCTGTTGCTAACTATGACCTCAAGGCAAACAGGAACTGGGGAAAGTTAGTTTTCTCTCCAGTACTAAAAGTGACCCCACAGAGTATAAGGCAAGCCAGGCATTGGTGGCACACACCTTTAATCCCAGCACTCGGATGGCAGAGACTAATGGAACTGAGTTCAAAGCCAACCTGGTCTACAGACAGTTCCAGGGTAGCCAGGGTATACAGAGAAACCCTGACTCAAAAAAAAAAAAAAAACAGAAAAAGAATGTAAGTCCTTTGCTTTGGCTCTGATCACAAATATTAATATTTTCCATGGCTTTCTTTAGGAGCCGTGTGCCCACTGGAAGAGCTGTGCGATGTGGCCCATGAGTTTGGAGCAATCACGTTTGTGGATGAAGTCCATGCGGTGGGGCTGTATGGTGCTCGAGGCGGAGGGATTGGTGACCGGGACGGAGTCATGTCAAAAATGGACATCATTTCTGGTACACTTGGTGTGTATGCTTTGTAAATTCTGCCCTTTTACGCTGAACTTCAGATACGTAACAAGACCAACGACTGGCGGGTCTGACTGGCACCAGGATAGGAAGCAGTGTGGTAGCATGTAAAGCCTGGGCCGTTTCTCTTTGGGGCGAACTTTGTTTCCATGAGACAGGGTTTCAGTCTATAGCCCAGGCTGACCTCACGGCGGCCCTCCTGCTTCAGGTTCTCCAGTGCTGGCTCTGCAGGCGTGCTGCCACTTCCATCGTGCAGTGAATTTTTTCAGTCCAGTGGATTGCCAGTGGATGCCCCGCTTTGGAGCATCCCTAGGGACATGGAGGCTCGCAGACTCCCACAGCTAAATATGACAGGAATTATATTACTTGCCATCTGAGCTCATTCCAGCCATTCTTGTGGCTCTTACTGCATCCTGTGACAAAAGCCTTCACTCTGTGCTGCTGGGTTCTGAAGGAGAGAGCACCCCAGTGATCTTCCAGCAGGTGTTGGGAAATGCTGTGCTCTGTGCCTGACCCAGGGAGCGAGTGCTCCGCTGTTCCAGCCTGCTCCTCTCCTCATATGGCTCCGAAGTCTGGCCCTCAGTCCCAGCTGTGCAGCTCCCTGGTTGTGTGACCTTTCCATGCCTGTTTTGTTTTGTTTTTCCCCATCAATGTGGTGGAAACAGCACTGGGAGCTGTGTCCGGATTCCCGTAGAGAAGATAAATGAGTATTTATAGATCCTTACTATAGATGTTGCCTTCGCCTGTGAGCATTGCTGAGAGGTTGTAGAAATTGAGGGTTTTTTCTTTTCTCTTTTCATAAAAATTTAGAGTTTGTTAAGGGCAGTGAGAAACCTGTGTGGCAGTCAGTGAATGCTAAGTTAGAACTTAAACTTAATTAAGGACCAGCAAGGAAAACCCTGTCAAGGGAGTGAAGCCTCCTCCAGACCTGGAGATAGCAGAGGGAAGCCCCCTATTCAAATGCCAATTCCAGTGTGCGGGGTGGGGGGGGGGGTGGGGGGGTGGGGGGGTAGACTTGGTGGAGGTGTGGCCCAGTGAGGTGGAAGTGCTAGGCAGAGAAATTTCCACCCTAAGACTTTGCCCCTGCTTAATCCTCTTGCGGTTGAGAAAAATGTTCACTTCAGAACAGAGAGTTAAGGCTCCTGAGAACCAACCCTTTTGGAGTCCTTAATCCTGAAATATGAGACACAGATTATACAAGGGCATTGGCCAGAACTGAAAAACAAGCCTGATTCTAAGTCAGCCCTGACTGGTTCTGAGTGTTTGTATTTATCCAGCAAATGCCAATTGCCCAGACTTTGCCCTTTGCTTGAACAGCAAGTAAGGTTTCTTTCAGTCCTGCTGCAGATGCCTTAGCCGGGTGACGGCCACCAAGTCTGCGGTGCCTCTTGGCGCCCATGCTGCTGTTGCCAACCTAACAGCTCTTCTTCCTCCCAGGTAAGGCGTTCGGCTGTGTCGGAGGGTACATCGCCAGCACAAGTTTGCTGATCGACACCGTACGGTCCTACGCTGCTGGCTTTATTTTCACCACCTCCCTGCCTCCCATGCTGCTGGCTGGAGCCCTGGAGTCTGTGCGGATCCTGAAGAGTGCCGAGGGGCGCGCCCTCCGCCGCCAGCACCAGCGCAATGTCAAGCTAATGAGGCAGATGCTGATGGACGCTGGCCTCCCGGTCATCCACTGCCCGAGTCACATCATCCCTGTGCGGGTAATGGCCTGTCTGTGGTCGAACTCCACACGTGATGTACCAGTGTTCTGTCCACCTTCCTAAAGCTGGGCTTGTGCAGGGTGATTGCTAGGGCTGGGACCACAGCCAGTGGCCCTCTGCCATGCCTCTGTCTTCAGCTGCCTGGGCTGCCTTCACAATAAGAAGGAAGTCTTTGAGCTGGAGCACAGATTCCCTCTCCAGAGCAGTAACCTTAACAGGGTAAACACAGAACGTGTGCCTGGACAGCTCTGGAAGGGAAGCACGGGCAGCTTTGAGGTGTGACTTTCACTTGGTGCATTTCAAAGCCGGTCTTGCACTTCCTCTGCAATCAGATCCCTGCTGACGTCACCGTTAATGTAAGGAAATAGCTAGTACCCCAGAGCAGGCAGACCCTCCTGGGAACAAGGACTTGCTTGTGTGAAAAAACAAAACAACAAAAAGAGCACCTGCTTGACCATACAGGACCTGAGAGGGCAGCCGTCTGCACCTCTTTGGCCATACAGGACCTGAGAGGGCAGCCAGGCTGTAGCCCATCCTGCGAATGTAGCTCCCTTAAACTGCAGGCGTTCAGGCAGCATCGCCCACCTCCCCCAGGCTTGTACACTTGGCTGCAGTCTGGTCTTGAGTCTGAGCCGCATGCGTGGACGCTTTGTTCTTGACGGTCTCTGCCAAATTATCATGTCTTATTCTGACCCTGCTCCTGCTGTGATGGACCTTAGGTCGCCGATGCTGCTAAAAACACAGAAATCTGTGACGAACTGATGACCAGGCATAACATCTACGTCCAAGCCATCAATTACCCCACGGTGCCACGTGGGGAGGAGCTCCTACGGATCGCCCCCACCCCGCATCACACCCCGCAGATGATGAACTTCTTCCTCGGTGAGTTGGTGCAATGGTTCAGGGAAATATCTCCACCACACTGGGGCTGCGCCTCCAGTGAGCCGTGTGAAGCCCGCACAAAGCTCTGGCAGGGTTTACCTGATGCTTCAGGCGGGCAGTAGTTTCTTCCTGTCCTGAGCAGCTATGCATGCCCTCGGTTGGCACATGACAAAACTCTAAAATTAGACAGTAGTGACTCACTTGACAGTGTGCATGGTCTGTTTGGAAACTCTCAGGAAGCCTGCCCGCCCCCCATGCCCTCTCTTCTGTCATGTGAGTTGTGGCTATTGAGGGGACAAGAGGCCTCTGATGGTGCAAGTCTGCCCTGGCCTTTGGAATCCCACTCACATTTCTCTGCATTTTCTCTTTCCTGACATGAGGTCCTTGAACTATGTCATTCTGGTGGCTCTGTGCTGCTCCCCACCTGCCTTGTCCATTCCTGAGGTGGACACTGAAGGGGCTTTTAGCTTTAGTTGGCCGTTGCCTCCCTAGGCCCTCTTGGACCTTCCCAAGTCAGGGTAACTTTGAAGGATAGACTTTATGTTGAAGATGCTCAGAGGACTTTTGTTTGGTTTTGGTGCTAGAGTTGAACTCGGGGTCTTAGCATGCTAGGTAGGCCCTCCACCCCTGAGCTCCCCTTCCCCAGGTTCCCGAGATACTCAGGCTAGCGTACTGACCCAGCAGTAGCTACTGAAGCTGGTTTGTGAAGTAAGACCCAACTCTGGGTTGTGTTTTTGTTTTTACTCTTAGAACTGTGTCACTGAGATTAATTCACATATCATAAATTTTACCTTCTTTTTTGTTTTTTGGTTTTTGAGACAAGGTTTCTCTGTGTGCATGTCCTGGAACTAGCTCTTGTAGACCAGGCTGGCCTTGAACTCACAGAGATCTACCTGCCTCTGCCTCCTGAGTCCTGGAATTAAAGGAAATTTTACTTTCTTGAAATACAGAATTAAAAGTCAGTGGTGGCACATGCCTGTAATCCCAGCACTCAGAAGGCAGAGGCAGGTGGATCTCTGTGAGTTCAAGGTCAACCTGGTTCTAGGACAGGCTCCAAGGCTAGAAATCTAGAAATCCTGTCTCGACAGGGGTGGGGGTATTTTTTTTTTTGCCCCCCCCGCCCCCCCGGCCCCGCCGCCAGCTACATTCATGGTGTTGATTAGCTCTGTTCTTTTCATTGCCATACAATTTCCTATTTGCATCTGTGCATGGGCGCTGGATGCTTCAGGATTGCTGCAGGCTTCTGTGTGGACGTGCTCTGATTCTTTGGGGCGGAAGATCCCTGTGGTGCTCAAACATTGTCTTTCCCCACAGAGAAGCTGCTGGTCACGTGGAAGCGAGTAGGGTTGGAGCTAAAGCCACATTCGTCAGCGGAGTGCAACTTCTGCAGGAGACCCTTGCATTTCGAAGTGATGAGCGAGAGAGAGAAAGCCTATTTCTCAGGCATGAGCAAGATGGTGTCTGCCCAGGCCTGACTGTGACCTCAGTTCCTCACCTAACCCCCGGCCATTACCATATCCAATAGTAGCCAGAATTGTCTTTATATGTGAAATAAATTATATATTAAATCTTAATCTATAGTAAAATTATAGTCCTGAAAATAACTTCTTGTGTGTTAGGTGTCTCTGCTGCTGACTGCTGAATGGAGAAATAACTTACCTGGGCTGTGCTGTGGCTGTATACATTGATGTCCTGCAGGCCTTGTGCTCTGTTCAGATCTGACCAGCACGGCACTGAGCCTGTAGGTGGGCCAGCTGGCACCCTAGTAACTGCCAGCAATGATGCCACCTGCTGCTGACTTCCCTTTAAACCTCCTGCCTCAGTGCCCACAGCCCCATCACAGCTCGGTCCTTCCCGCTTTCCTTCAGCCACTGCCTCAACCTCACCCTTCCCACCGAAAGTCACACTTCAGTCAAGCCTGAAGGAGGGCCCATCTGTGTTTACCAAGTCTTGTGGCCTGCCCCTCCCTGACCCCTAGTCATGCCCTCTGCAGAGAATGTGCAGGGCTTTCTTTCTGCACCTCGTGTGCCCTCTCCATTTGTATTTGGGTCTTGCCGCTTCTTGCGCAGTCTGAAGCCACCCCTTGTCTTCTGTCACATACCTCTCCCCCTCTGCTGTCTCTTCCTCCCGGAAGCAGACATGACCTTTAGCCAATGGCCAAGCTGTCACCCAGGCTCCACCCCTCACAGCTGCAGCTGTCCTTGTCCCACCTCTGCACAGCCCTTGCCACCCCTCCCTTGCCACACATATTGCCAGTCTTGCCAAACCCAGCCACTGGTTCTTCTGCCTCTCACTAGGTCCCTCCGTGGTATCTGAGCGGTTGGCCTTGGTTTTCTTTACAGCTTTTCCATCCACGTCTAAGCCATGCCGTTCCCTGCCCCCAATAGTGTTCCCTCTAAGCTGGGTGCTCCTATGACTGCTGTTGGTCCTGCTTCACCAAGTGCTCCACCTCACAGTCTTCCTGGGGTCTCCCAGGTCCATGGGGTGTAGAAAGCATTCTGCCCCCTGCACCCCCACAACTGTTTCTGCACCTGGTCCTCACATCATTGGCTCAGGTGATGCAGTCTCTCATCTAGAGCCAGCTGTCTACTCTCTTACATAGCAGCAAAACCCATCTTAGGCCAGGCTGGGCTGCTGCTACTGCCCTCTTCTGCCTTTGCCTCCACCCCAACAGCAGTCTGAGAGGTCTTAGAAAAACACGGAAGCCTGAGTAACAGAGACCTCAAACCCCACAGTGACACACTTCCTCCAACAAGGCCACTATTAGGCCTAATAGTGCCATTCCCTTTGGGGGCCGTTTTCTTTCAGACCATCTCAACAATAGATAAGAGTTTATGGCCAAGGGTATGAGTGACAGCACAGGCACCTGGGAGGTCTACACCCATCTAGGATGACTGACTATTCCCCCAGGCCGATGAAGATGGAATTCCCGCTGGGCCATGGTGGCACACGCCTTTAATCCCAGTACTCAGAGGCAGAGGCAGGCGGATCTCTGTGAGTACGTAAGTACGAGGCCAGCCTGGTGGTCTACAGCGCTAGTTCTAGGACAGGCACCAAAGCTACAGAGGAACCTTGTCTCAAAAACCAAAACAAACAAACAAACAAAAAAGATGGAATTCCCAGGGGCTGGAGAGTTGACTCAGACTGCTCATCTAGAGGACCAGAGTTCAATTCCCAGCCACCACCATCTGTAATGAGATCTGGTGCCCTCTTCTGGCCTGCAGGCATGTATGCAGACAGAACACTGTATAAATAATAAATAAATCTTTTAAAAAAATATTAAAAAAGAGAGAAGATGGAATTCCCTCCTCCCCTCATCCCTCCTCACCTATATCCTTTAGCCCTTCCCAGACACCCCCAGGCCATGTGCAATTAGGGCGGAATTACATACAAGTTAGGTATCTTAGGGTTTCTATTGTTGTGAAGAGAAACCATGACCATGGGGTGATTTATAGTTCAGAGGTTCAGTCTATTATCATCATGGTAGGAAACATGGTGTGTAGGCAGACATGGTGTGTGGAAGGAGCTGAGAATTCCTATTTCTTTTTTTTTTTTTTCTTTCTTCTTCTTTGCACGCCTTTAATCCCAGCATTTGGTTTTTCGAGACAGGGTTTTGCTATAGTTTTAGAGCCTGTCCTGGAACTAGCTCTTGTAGACCAGGCCAGCCTCTAACTCACAGAGATCCGCCTGCCTCTGCCTCCCGAGTGCTGGGATTAAAGGCGTGCACCACCACCGTCCGGCTTTTTTTTTTAATTTTTTAAAAAATATATTTACTTTGATTTGATTTATATTGGTATTTTGCCTGCTTGTATGTCTGTGTGAGGGTGTCAGATTATAGATTCAGAGAAAGTTGTGAGCTGCCATGTGGGTGCTAGGAATTTAACCCTAGTCCTCTGGAAGAGCAGTCAGTGTTCTTAACCTCTGAGCCATCTCTCCAACCCCTGAGAATCTTACATCTTGAGTCACAGGCAACAGGAAGTGAACTGAAACACGTCGTGTTCAACTTATATATGTTGAGCATATATAAGACCTCAAAACCTGCCTCCACAGTGACACACTTCCCCCAATAAGGCCATACCTACTCTAACAAAGTCACACCTTGTAATATTGCCACTCTCTATGAGCTTATGGGAACCAACTACATTAAAACTACCACAGGAGGGTGGCTGGATTCTTGAGTAAAAGTCTTGAGAGACTCTCCACATCCTTTTCGAAGAGTTAACAAGCCCAGCTGTGATGCTCTCTGGCCAGCAGGTCCAGTTGAATCCCTGCAGATGGCAGCCATTTGGCCCAGAGAACAGTCCTGTGCAATAGCCTCTGACATCACCACACTTCTCTCGGCCTCCTGCCTCCGTGTCCTTCAAGAACTTGGTCTCCACACATGGTTGTAATATTGCTTAACCACCCCCACTCCCTGAGACAGGGTTTCTCTGTGCAGCCCTATTTGTCCTGGAACTTTGTTTGTCAAACGGGTTGACCTAGAACTCAGAGCTCCGCCTGCCTCTGCCTCCTGAGTGCTAGGATTAAAGGTGTGCGCCCCCACTGCCTATAGTGGCATATTATTACTTGTGTTGTAACCACCTGGCTGTAATATCGCTTTGAGGATAGGTGCCTTGTCTTTTCCATTCTGTCCTCTCCAAGTCCAGCACAGAGCCCAGTGTTCAGTAGGTGCTGAGAAAATATGTATTGATTGAATGAAAGGGGGCCCTGGTGACATCCAAATCATGTGAGCAGGACAACTGAGCTGAGGAAAGGCTAGGCAGCTGGCAATAAGAATCCTGCTGTGCATTCTGTCTCACAGCTGTAGATGGGACAACTGCATGTTCTCACTGGACAGGGTTATGCTGAGGCCGGGCCTACAGGTACTGTCCCTTTACTTGACAGCATTGTGTGGAAGTTGGCTGCATCATGGTCCCATCAGATAAAGGCATCATACCCAGACAGGCCACTGGGCATGAGAGAAGTCACACACCTCAGAACCACAGTATATTTCCTTCCTGATGGGTTTTCCCAGTTTGGTTGCCTCGTGCCAACTTCCAGAACTACCACTGTTCCTCACATTCTCACGCCTTCTACCGCCTTTCTTCAAGTGGGATTGTTTGCCTTCGGCAGGGAATGTCCTAATGCTTGGGAGGACCCATTTTTCCTTCCTAAGATGAAGCCAGCCGGGTGAATAAGGTCTGCGGGTCTTTCTTCCCTCCCTGCTTCTTGGGGTTATGAGAACACAGGACGGAAGGGTCTGTAGGTAGCAGGGGGGACATGTGACTACTTAAAAATAACAATAGTTTTTTCAAGTCCATCGAATGTGAAACTGTAGGGTGGCGTGAAAGTTTTGTTTGCAAGATGTTTAGAGGCTTAGGGCACCAAGTGAGTTGTTTGTTAAAATCTCAGTAGACCAGCAGGGGGCATAGCTCAGCAAAAATACATGTCTTGCAAGCACGAGGCCTGGATTTGACCCTCGTCCCACTTAAAAATGCCTGCATGAGGATGATTCCCATAATTCCAGTGCTGCAGAAGCAGAGACAGGAGGACCCATGGAGCTCACTGGCCAGACAGTCTCACCTAATTGGTGAGCATCAGGCCAAGATGAGACTCTGATTTGAAGGAGGCGGGCAGTATTCCTGAAGATAGCACCTGGGCTTGTCCTCCAGCCTCCACGTGTACCCACAGGTGTATCCACACATGCCCACATCCACACATACAAGCATGTATAAAAAAAATCCTAGTATACAGATTTTCCTCAAGTTGACATTTTCCTCCTGTCAGCCTTTCGTGTCTGATAGTTCAGCTTGTTTGGTCCTCACTGCTCCCCAACCAGAGGGGGCAACACCAAGGCCCACAAATTCTCTCACAGAGAGCTTCCAGTGCTCATCTTTAGACTCCGTCAGTGACCCGGGCAGGGACTCCTGACTAGGAATGTCATTCTCTGGGTGGAAAGAGAAACCCTGGAGCCCTGTCAGTTAGTGGTTCCAAGCATCAATCCCTGTACCCAATAATGACAGCTGAGGCACTGCCTTTATACACATGATCAACAGCCAGCAGAATAGCTCTGGCCAATCTCTTTAGAGATGAGCAAACTGAAGCTTCCAACAGGAAGTCCCCTGCCCAAGACAACTCAGATGGCAAAGCTGAGATGCAGCCCCTGGCAGCCTGACCAGGGTCCTATCTCTTTCCTGGTGTGCTGAGCCAATAACAGAGTGGGAGAGAGGGCCGGAAGTTATCCAGAAATTCCCTTCTAACCACAGTGCAGCAGGGTTGGTTCCCACTCAACCTCGTTGGCTATAACTCTGCCCACTCCAGCCTCACTGCTCAGAGCTAGTGTGAGATGGATGGACAAGCGGGTAGCTGCATGCTCTACCTGGAAATGCAGAGAGTAGCCTTGCCAGCCTGGGAGATAAACAAGCCAAACACTGGCCCTGGGCAGGAGTCTGCTTCCTACTTCTGTTGTTTCTGGCTGTGGCCGAAATACTCTCAGAGCCACTCAACAGGGACTTCCCCAGGTTTTCAGCACAGGAATCCTCCTGTTTTGTTTTGTTTTGTTTTCTCCAGGCCACCCAGGTCAGAGCCTGCACGGGACTCCATAGGTCAAGGACTGTCCTTTCTTTCATTTGATAGATAAGAAGGAATATCATGGCAGAAGCCCCTGTGCTTGAGTTAGAAGTTCTAGCTCAGCAGCAAAGTCCTAGCATATACAAGGTCTTGAGTTCAGACAACAGTAACACACACACACACACACACACACACACACACACACACACACACACACAAGTAAAAGAGGAAGGTGGCCCGTACTTCCTTCATGGCTATGCCCTGGAGATGCAGGGGTGGGGGACGACAGGGAAGCTGGCAGTCATTTTGCAAAATCAGCAGTTTGTCTGTGCCTAGTTCCAACACTCTTCCCCCACCCTCACGTAGGAGGCCCCTGAGTGGCCACTGGCCTAAGCCTGCCAAACTGGTTCAGTTCTCCATCACCCCTCTAGACCCCGACTCTGTGAGGTTGTGTGGTCTCCTCTGCTTCTCAATGATGAAAACAGTAGTCTCAGATTCAGGATCCTGGGGGCTTCAGATACAACACTACCCACAAGGTCAATGGACTCGTTGGATACCGATCCTATCCACCAACACTGGCTGCATTCTGAAATCTATGCTGTACCTACAAAATTAGGAGCACAGATCTGGGAGTGGTGGTTTACACCTTTAATCCCAGGACTCAGTGGGCAGATATAAGTGATCTCTGTGAGTTAGAGGCCAGCCTGGTCTACATAGCAAGTTCCAGGACAGCTAGATATGTAGTGAGATCCTGTCTGAAAAGACAGACAAGAAGGAAGGAAAAGGGGAAGGAAGGAAGGAAGGAAGGAAAGATGGATAATGAGATAAGCTCGGTGGGTAAAGGCCCCCACTGATTAGTATTAGTTCTCTGGTTATTGGGTTCCACTGCTGATGCAATAAGCCAAATCAGACCGAATTAATAAAAACAGAGCAAAGCAATTTCCGGGTGACTCTCAGAAAGGCAGGAAAGAAATCACGCAGCAGGTCTGGCAACCAGGTCTTAAATACCCTGTAGGCGTGGTCTTGAGCAGCTCCAGGGGAGAAGCTGACCCTTGGTGGGCTTTCTGAGGGGAGGGGTCTGGAATAGGAGGAGTGAGATCAAAGTGGAGATTCCCAACACATAAATAAATACATAAACATAGTAAAAACGTTTAGGGGCCAGTTAGAAGACCCATCTGATTACGGTCCTTGTTTCCGTTGACACAAAAACACAACTCTTGACTTAAAGGGGATGAGAGTTTATTCTGGAACCAAATACGAGTGACTATGGTCTAGGAATACAGATGTAGTTTATTTCAAATTTCATGTTTCAATGTGGTAACAGTTTGATGAAGTTTTTTTAGTAACAGAACAAAGAAAATCACAAGTAGAAGCCAGGCATAATGACACACACCTTTAATCCCAGCAGATTAGGAGGCAGAGGCAGGTGGATATCTGTGAGTTGGAGGCCAGCCTGATCTACAGAGTGAGTTCCAGAACAGCCAGGGCTACACAGAGATACCCTCTGTTTGTTTGTTGAAAAGACAAACAAACCAAAAAGAAAACCCCTCCCCAAAACAAAACAAAACAAAACACTACAAGTCACCTTTCAAATACACAGATAGAAACATTAAGCAGGTGGGTTCAAGAAAAGCAGGGGTGGGGTGGACCTCCCTATAGACCTTGGTTGCTATATGGTAACATTCTTAGCTTTTTGGTTGGTGGGGGAAAAAACAACTGTGCTTTTTTGTTAAGTGAACACATATATCTTATTCGGTTAGACAGAGAGGCAGGTAAAGAATGGCCAGTCAGAATGCTAAGATAAGTTGTAATTTATTAGAATTGTAATTAGTTTCTGGACTCTTTAACAGTCTGTAACAGTAATCAGCCTTGCAGAAGGCTCGGTGGAATGTGCAGCGCAGCTTCTTTCCTGGAACTTAATTGTGTCATCAACCTGAGTCCAATCTCTGGACCACATATGGTGGAAGAAGACCTGACCTTTGTCCTCTAACCTCCACAAGCTGGTCATGGCACTTGCTCACCTCTACATATACACAAGAAATAAGTGCAACTTTAAAATAGAAAACAAAACAAAACACTGAGCATGGTAGTACACACCTTTAATCCCGGGATTTGGGAGGCAGAAGCAAGTGAATCTCTGGGAGTTCCCAACCAGCCTGGTCTACATAGAGTTCCCAGGTTAGCCAGGTCTTTGTAGTGAGATACTGCCTGGTTTAGAAAGAAAGAAAGAAAGAAAGAAAGAAAGAAAGAGAAAAAGAAAGAAAGAAAGAAAGAAAGAAAATGAAGAAAGAAACATATACATATGTATATATATTCCATCTTGATCAGATGTGACTAGGCCTCAGTCTAAATTTAAGCAGGTCTGAGAGACAAGTACATGGAAGAGGCCCCCTCCCCTCTGTAGCCAGGTAGCAGCTCACCTTGGTCTCTTTTGATATCTGAACAGTGACCTGGCATGATCCTCTAGATGGAAGTGGGAAGGGCTGCATTGTGAGTTCATCTGAATAGGTATGTTCAGGCTGTGGTCCACGTCCTGATGTGCCCCAGCATAGCTGGGAATGTAGTCAGATACAAAACTGTCCACTGAAGTTTTCATTTTTGGTGGAATTTGTTTTGTGTTTTAACTCGGCACACAGATCTCAAATGTGAACTATGCAGGTGACACTGTTTGTCATGATGTCAAAAGGGCAGACACGGGGTTGGGAAGATGATGCCGTCTGTAAAGCACCTGTCGTGCATGTACAGGGGCCTGAATTTGATCCCAAAACCTGTGTGGAAAAGCTCAGTGTGGCACCTTTATAACCCCAGGGCTGGGAGAAGGGGGATGGTTGGCATTCTGTGGCCGGCTGATACAGGCTAATTGGTGAGCGCTGGGTTGGTGAAAAAAAAATCGTACAGCACCAGAAGAATAACATGTGAGGTTGTCCTCTGGACCCCGCTGCACATGTGTACATGGACCCTCATACATACATGCATCCTTACACATACACGCACTACACACACACACACACACACACACACACAAACACACACACAGAGGTTGAATATATTTTTGATCTCCTGTGGCTCTCAGCTCCTTGCTGCTACTGCCACTGGCAGAACTCTAATCCAGGCTGGCCTTCTTTGTCCGGCTTAGGCACGGCCACCCGAGTGTGTAATCATCCCTGTCCAGCTCAGTCACGGCCACCCGAGTGTGCAATCATCCCTCTTTTCTTACACACCTAGTAATGAACACTGCCCTGTTTGGGAGTTTTCTCAGGACCTTGCTAAGGACCAGAGATAAACTAGGCCTGCATCTTCTCTGCCCTCAAGATAGGCCAGTAGGTGAGGGAGGCAGATACCCCAGATCAATACAAGACAGGCAGAGAGGTGATGACACAGGCCAGCTCAGAGAGCAGGGCATTCAGAGAACAATTTAAAAAAACAGACAAACAAACAAACAAACAAACAAAAAAACAAAAGAAACCGTCAGACTAGGCCCTGTTCTCTAGGAAGAACCCAGGCACAATTGGTGACTATCTTCAGACCCTACTGAAAGATGCCTGAGAAGAAAATCGCCCTTCACAGCCAACCTTTGCTCTGTGGGTCCTATTTTTACCCATCTTCTCCCTCTTCAATTTGTGGAGACACGGAGAATTTCCCCATCTCTCCTCCCACCCACACTGTCCAGGAACCCAGGGCTGGTGGTTTGGTAGCGTACATGGCATGCTCCTGGAGAAAAGCAGAAGGACAGAGCAAGGTAGGCCGAGCAACCCGGGTGGCCAGGCGTGAAGGTGCCAGCTGTAGCTCTGGGCTACTCTGCTGTGGGTCCCCGGCAGAAGTTTTGGTTATAGAAGTGGCGGTTGTCCCTAGTCAGGGCTGTGCTCAGGTGAGCCCAGAAGCTGCCCTGTCCGCTGGGCTGCTGGGGCCAGAAGAGCACACTCTGGCGGCAGAGGCGCTGGCGCAGGCGCACGTAGCGGGAGCGGTGGGCATCGGGACGCAGGATCACCAACACCACTACGTCTTTGCGGTCCTCCAGCAAACGCTGTTGAGCCAGCAGGAAGCTGGTGCGCAGGAGGCCGCTGACCCGGTCCGTGTGGGCCAGCACAAAGAGCGTCTTGCGGCTGCCGTAGATGGAGGCCCAGAGATTCTCGAAGAGCGTCTGGCCGGGCAGCCAATCTCTGTCCTCCAGACACAGGCGCAGAGCTCGGCGCCCGCGCCGCTCCTCCAGCCGCACCCGCAACTCGTTATACACCCAGTCGGCCACCGCGTTCTGCGCCTTATCGAACACTACGAAGGCATCGTAGGGCAGGGCTTGGGCTCCCCGCCGGCCCCGGGTCAGCAAAGGTAGCCATGCCAGGCACAGATGGAAGCAGTACCAGACGTCCCAGCCGCAGAGATGCTGTAGTAATGGTACTGCTATGCCCACAGACACAGCCAATAGGGAAATGCCAAAGCAGTCCAAGGAGAGAACCTCATCCAGGCATAACCGCAGGTCCTGCGCGAAGATGCTTCGGCCCTGCAGCTGGCCAGGACTGCCACACTTCACTTGGTTGGGCAGGCCGGGCACCTTGGTCTGCACCTCCAGCAGGAAGTCCACGAAGGCCGCCCCACAGGCGCAGTGCAGAGGGTTGCTTCTCACGTCTAGCATTGTCAGGTTCACCACTACGGGCCCAAACCAGGAGCGATCCACTGTCATGAGGATATTGTCGCTGAGGTTGACCTCTTTCAGATTCAAGGCCAGAGCAAAGAAGGCTGGAACCACAGAGACAATACTATTGCTACTGACATCCAGTTTCTGGAGCCGGGTGCCGTAAGGCAGAGTGCCGTTGGCCAGGGCCTTTAGTTGGTTTCCCGCCAGGTCCAGGACTTCCAGGTTGGGCAGGAAGGCCAGACTGCTCCAGTTAAAGAAAGACAGATAATTGTTACGGAGATTGAGATCCTTCAGGCTCTTGGGGAGGTTGGCGAGGTTCTGGGGCAGGAGAATATGCAGGCGATTCAGAGACAGGTCCAGTTTGCTCAACACTCTCAGACCACGGAAGAACTGGAGATAAAGGTCCCCCTCCCCCCACATGAGGCCTACAGAATTGCCACTGAAGTCCAGGGAGACCAACGAGGCGCTGCGAAGGTGTGAGGACACACGGCTGTGAATGTCATTGTGTGCCAGGCTGAGGTAGCGCAGCGTGGACAGATGGGTTACAAAACTAAAGTTGTGACCGATACCCTTCATGCTGAAGGGCTGGTTGTTGTAGCTCAGGTCCAGAGCCTGCAACTGTGGGAGCTCAGTGAAAGAGCGCCCATGGTACAAGTCCAGCTTATTATGGGACAGGTCCAACACCTTCAGATTGGTCAGCGGCAGGAACTGAGAACCGTTGACAGCCTGTGCAATGCAGTTCTGGCTCAGGCTTAGGCACTGGAGGTGTGAGAGGTTGGCAAACATCTCTGGGTGGATTGCTACCAGGTTGTTCCGAGACAGATCCAAGGTGAACGGGAGGTTCCTGCATCTGACCATGGTGCTCTTATGGTCAGGGGTGCTCAGTGGAGCTGGAGTGAGAACCCCAGACCACAGACTCTCCTGTGCCCCATCATCTGCCTCTTTGGGGGTGACTGCTGACATTACCAAAGACCCACTAATGCGGTTGTCTGACAGGTCCACGAGGCGAAGGCTTGGGAAGGTACCAAAGATGCTGAGCTGGGCCTGGTTGATGAAGTTCATTTGAAGATGCAGAGTATGGAGGTTGGGCAGAGGGGTCAGCCACTTGAGCGTGTACTGGTTGAGCAAGCGGAAGAAGATGCCGTTCAAGTTCAGCTCTTGCAGGGACACCAGGCTCGCGAAGGACCTTGCCAGGTGGAGCTTGGCAAATGATACCTTCTTGCAGTAATTGAAGGACAGGTCGAGCTTGCGCAGGCTTGTCAGGTTCTGAAAGGCGGTGGTTTTGGTAATGCACTCATAGAGAAAGTTCTCACTCAGGTCCAGCACTGAAAGGTTGGCCAGACCGTGGAACCAGGAGGGGTTCAGCATGTGGAGGGAATTGTCCTTCAGCACCAGGCCTTCGAGGTGGCTCAGGTGATGGAAGGTCTCGGGGTGCAGCAGGAGGGACTCTTGCCCGCAGTCTATGCAGGGGTTGAAGGCATGGTCGCAGCGGCGGCAGTTCCCACCCACATCGAGGACTCTCAGGGAGGTCAGGTTGGCTAGGTCTTCAGGTGCCAGCTTGACAATGTGGTTATAGGACACCAGGAGATACTCCAAGCTGGGGGGCAGTTGGTGGGGCACCTTCGTGAGGTTGTTATACTTGAGTGACAAATGGGTGAGGTTACTCAGGCCCAGGAGAGCCCCTGGCTTTACCTCCACTGACCCACGGCAGGGGTTCTTATAGTAACAGTTCCCGTCCATGAAGAGAAAGCGCAGGTTGTACAGGTCAGTGAAGCTGTCAGAATCGAGTACCAGGATGTTGGTGTGGCTCAGGCTCAGGTTAATTAGGGAGCTGGGCAGTGGGGGCACAGTGGTGATGCCATTGTAACTCAGGTTCAGGTCTTCCAGCGTCCGCACAGCCTTGAAGGTGTTGGGCTGGATGGTCATGCGACAAGGGAAATGCATGGGGCTGAGGCCAGTGGGCGGGCAGTTCCATTTGAGGTTCAGTTTCCGCAGGTTGGGTAAGTGGACAAAGTCAGAGTTGTGCAGGTGATGGATGCGGTTGGAGATCAAGGAGAGGTTGGTGATATTGGAACGGGGTGTGGCTGCAGAGAAGCGGGGCACAGATTTCAGGAAGAGCCAGTTGCAGTCTACGAGGCCTTGAGGCTTCAGCTCACAGGGCAGGAAGGCAGGAAGGGTGCCCATGGCCAGAGCCCCGGTCAGCACTGCGGCTTGCACCAGAAGAGACAAGGGGTGCAGGGTCCTGAGGCAGAGAACCTGGGAGAGCCAGGACTGGATGAGTGTCTAGTGGCATACTACCCTCTCCTTCCCTCTCACTGGGGCTTTTCTCAGGGTTTCCAAGTCCTCCCCAAGTGCCCTACCCTCCAGCCTCCTTCACTCAAGACCGCTATTTGGTTTTAGGCTCAGCGCTGACTCAGGGCTAGGGCACAGAACCAGGGTGGTCTGGAATCCAGACCCCAGACTTGGAGCTTTTGCTCGGAACACAACACACAGCAGGGCCAGGACAGACTCCAGCAGGCCTCCGGGGCCTCTCACACTTTCTCTTCCTCTCCCCTGGGGCCTCAGTTCTTTTTTCCTGAACACAGCATCTGCCAGGGCTCTGGTTCTCCTCCTCCCTGAAGCCTTGCTCTGTTAGCCTCCTGCCCTCTCCTTGGCTGAAATGCAGGGAGACCTGAACCCCCTGAGGTGTGGGCTGGCTCCTCACCGGTACAACCTAGGTCTTTTTACCCTCCATCTGCTTCCCCCCGACTGACTTGAGACCCCTTAAAAATCAGAAGGCTCGGAGGGAACAATGGGCAGCAACTCTGCCATGTGCAGGCCGGGCGCCACCACTGGCTGAAGACCAGGGGCTCAGCCACCCTATCCACCTAGCAGGTTCAGCTCTCTCTGCTCAGAGAATGATGTTTGCTCCAATTTCCTTAAGGGGGGGAAGTACATGAATATTCAAAGGGCCCATTTTTATCATCATCCCTTCCCATGGGGACTAAGAGCTGGGGTCCTACCATGTTGGGGAATGGAGGCTCCTCCAGAGGCTCCGTCTGACGAGCTGAGCAGCAGAGAACGATGCTCCACCGGGGTCCCTTAGAGAATTGAGGAAGTGACACTTTCACTACAATTTAATACTTTATCCCTTCCCTGGGAGGGCAGGTGGTAGAGTGAGTCACAGGTTTTTTGCATAGTTAGATGGCAGGCTGCCAGTCCTCCTCACCCCTTCCTCTTTCCGTTCTCTTCCTCACCCCACAGTCAGCCATGACGGCCTCACATCTGTCCTCTGGGAGGTGTGGGAAGGGACCAAAGCCCAGACTGCTGCCCAAGGTCAAGGAGAAACCAGAATCTAGCGTAGCACCAGAGCTTGACAGAGTGCGGACACCCACGAAGAGGGTGTCACCTCACCCTCAAGCTTCAGTGCTCACCCCATGGGTGCTCGCAGGACAGACTCTCTCTCTGTAGAGCTTCTGTGAGCCGGGGGCTGGAGCCAACATCTGCCCTCAGCACGGCAGTAGCCGTGACATCTCTCCCGGGACTTGTGTCTCCCACTCTGCATGCCCACTTCCCACAATGCCCCATCAGACTCCAGGCCCCAGACTCCATGGCTGGTCCAGCTCCAACTCTGGCTCATGTTGCTGTTGTGTGATACGATTCCTGGGGAGACGTGTGCAAATGGGTACTCACCCAAGGAAGGGAACCGATGGCAGACCAAAGCTGAGGACGTCAATGAAGTCCAAGTTGGCTAATCAATGAGTTTGATTGGAGTTACTGGCAGAAGCATGGGTGAGGGGTGAAGCAGCAATGACCCCAAAGACAGCAGCACCACCAAAAACCCACCCCAGCATAGGTCACGAACTCCACAAAAGCTGGATGGAGTGTTGTGCTCACGGCACAACTTACTGGCAACTCAAAATGTTGGAGAGTAAATTTTCTAAGCAATTCAGTTGGCCTGGGGCTTTTGCAGGCAGCTCAGTTGGTTTCCGCTTCTTCCAGGCAGCCCCCACCCCCCACCCCTACCCCACCCCCACTTCTCACCTGAGAGTTCCTCTCAACAGTCTGAGGGCCTGGCCCATCATCTGCTCACTAACAGGGACTTCCCGAAGCTTTTCGGTTGTCTCCATCCTGAGCTGTAAGGAGCTTTTCTGAAGGATGGCATGATCCACCTCCCTTGGAAGAAAGTGCTACCCAGCACTGACTACTCAACTCTGCACACTCTCTTTTGGCCCTGGTGATTGGGACTCAGATTTTTTAAGTCCAAAGCTCTAGAAACCCTGGAGAAACCTTATGCCCTGAAAGCGTCCCTTTAGAAGCTGCCCACCGCTCACAACCTGCATATCTTTCTGCCTGTCTGAGCTGACATCATCTCTAACATCATCCTGCTCCTGCTCCCATCCCCTGCAGCCTTTTCACATTGAGCCTCCGGAGAGACCCGTTCAAACTTCTCTCTCTCTCTCTCTCTCTCTCTCTCTCTCTCTCTCTCTCCACATACATACATACACACACACACACACACATATATACACATGTATATACACATATAGTGTATATATGTATATATGTGTATAGTATATGTGTGTGTGCATACATGTGTATGTGTTGCCTGCATGTGTGTCTGTGGACCACTTGCAAGCCTAGTGTCTGAGGAGGTCAGAAGAACATGTCAGATCTCCTGCAACTGGCACTGCACACAGCTGTGAGCTGCCATGTGGATCCTGGGAACTGAACTCAGGTCCTCTGGAAAAGCAACCAATGTTCTTAACTTCTGAGCCCTCTCTCCAGCTCCTCTGTTCAAAACTCTCATTCTGGGTCCCACCTCTGCCCAGATCCTCCTTAACTGTTTGGAGCCCTAGTCACTGTCCAAACAGGAGCCAAGATCCTATGCTCCCTGTCCTTCCATTTCCCCCCTGATCTGCTGATAGCCACACTGGCTTTTTGTTGTTTGGACATAGCTGTGCACTTGCTAGCTTGGTGGCCTTTGAACATACTCTTCCCTCTGCCTGGACACTCTTTTTTCCAGATTCCCCACATGGTCCAGTTTGTCTCCCGCCTTTACACACTGCTCATATCATCTTCTCTTTCCGTGAAGCCTTCCCTGACCTCTTGTGAACCTCTCAGCTCAGCTTCACACCCATTCTTCCAGCACCGTGAGGGCCTGACTGGGCTACATAGTGAGACACTGACTCCAAAGAAATTCAGACATAAGTAAGTAAACCTGCCAGGTCTGGCTCTCCTGAGCACTGTGGCCTGCTGGTTTTCTTTTCGTATAATGTTTATCAACCGCTGCCACAACACGTCACCCGCCCTTCATGCTCTGCCGGATACTGTCTTACTCTCTTGTTGGAACGCTGACTTCTTGAGGAGAGAAGCTCCGATCTGTGTCTGCGGCACTGCTCAGTATCTGACAAAGCTATGTCTTGTCCACGGCACTCAGCTTTGGTGGTCGGGTTATCTTTGAGTGAAGTTTGAATAAATAAATGAATGAATGAGAGAATGAATGAATGACCATTCTCCAGAAAGGGGCAGAGTTCTACATTAGTCTCCTGGCTCTGCCCAGAACCTCATCAGAGTGGATCTCATAGCAGGCAGGATCCAAGGTACCAACGATTTAGCTGGCTTGGCAGCTTGAGGCCATCTGCATGATCTTGCTTGCCTGAGAACTCAGTATTTGGACTGAGTCTCCTGTGGAACTTTGCCAGGGTCCCAGCTTTTCTGTCCATAATCCTAGGGGCTTTAACAGGGGTTGAAAAGAACCTCTGCAGTGGGACAATGCCCTGAGCCAGGAGAAAGGACAGCATCACTCAGCAGCTCAATGTTTCTCCATCCGTCTTCTCTGGGGACAGGCAGTGTCTACCCACTCTTCAGAGGCATAGCCTCACCCATGACTTCTGCTGAGTATCAAACTTGGGCAGTTTCCCAGAGGCCAAGGGACTCCTTATGGACCACAGAGTCAGTTGTCCACTTTCGCTCACCACCCTGCATTCCTTGGGAATAGTAAAGCAGGCCTGAAGAGGGACACAGGGCTGCTGACAAAGACACACAGGACTGGAGATGCCAAGGTACAGATCTAAGAATGCCCATTATAGCTTCAGTGCCGTGAAAACCCAATCAGAGAGCCCTTACCAGGGTGGTGGGATCTACAATGCCTTCTTAGGAGCCAGGTGTAGTGGTGCACACCTTTAATCCCAGCACTTGGGAGGCAGAGGAAGGCGGATCTCTGTGATTTTGAGGCCAGCCTGGTCTACAAGAGCTAGTTCCAGGACAGGCTCCAAAGTTACAGAGAAACCTTGTCTCGAAAAACCAAAACCAAAACAACAAAACAGAGACAAAGCCAGGTACAGTGATATATGCTGGTAATGCCAGTATTAGGGTGGCTGAGGTAGGAAGACTGTCTCATTCATTACACCGCAAGACCCTGTCTCAAAACAAAATGCTAAGATGTTAAGAATAAAATTTAAAGATGGAAAGATCTGACTACAGATCAAGGCACAAATCCACGAAAGCCCAGAGCAGCAGAATCTGGTTTTTCAAGTTCAGAGTTGAGAACATGGCTAACCTTGCCAAAAGTCAGCTGTCTGCCCCCACGGTGTTAGCCTTGTCTGGCCTCCAGATCTGTATATATAAATGTGGAAGGCTTTTCTTTCCTTTTTTTCAGACAGCATTTTACTATGTTGCTCAGACTGGGCTCAAACTACCTCTTTTTTAAGCCACCGAGTTTGTGGTAACCTGTCACAGCACCCACAGGAAACAGACACCCAGTTCTCTACAACCTCATGGAAGCATGTGAGCCTCATGGGAAGGGCTGCAGCCGTACACTCAAGCATCTCCCATATACCCACGGTCAGGGGTGCCTGGGCGTCACCCTGGCAGGCCAGCAAGCCCCTTCTAAACAGGAAAAGGACAGCTATGCCAACAAAGGCATTCAATTCACAAGGTGAGGCTCAATATTGATTTAAAAATATTTTATTCTTTAGAAAATACAGCGTTCACCCATCCCTTCCTGTGACATCTGGCCCCTGCCAACTGTCCCCACCCTCTGTGGCCAAAGGCTTCTGGACTGAGTTGGGGCCATAGCATCAGATCTGGAGGCTAGGCTCATGCCAGGCTCCCCACTCAGATCTCCTTGATAGAGCCAGGTAGGGCTCCCCAGCCACCCTGTGCACACAGATGAGAGGAAGGGACAGCCACAGGGCAAGGCCACGAAGTGCTGGTCCAATGGCCCTTGAAAGTAGCAAATGTGTTCAGCCACCTGTCCTCCTGTCCCACAGGATGCGATTCCTTAGAGCCCAGGCTGGGGAGGAAGGAGGTGCAGAAGTGGCGGGGTGGCAACCCTGCAGTCCACACGCCTGGCCCTGTTCCCAGTCCAGACACCTAGCTGTCATCTCCATTTTCGCCGGGGCCCCGGATGAGGCGCTTATGGCCCCGCTTGCCCCCAGGGCCCTTGGGCTTGGCGAAGGCCTGCTTGAAGGCATGCTGCTTGGGATGCACCTCATCATAGAGGAACTCAGCCGTCAGCTCTGCCCCATCACCAATCTCGATCTGTGTGGATTAAGACAGAAGCCATCACTATGCTGAGGTCCCAACACATACCACTCTTGATAAGTCTCACTCCTAGGGTCACCCTGATAGCGATCATCTTCTCTGAGGTCACCACTAGGTATATAATGTAGGGCTGTCACTCTGCTGGCCCGAGTCACCATCTCCTAACCCCCCAAGACCTAGGGAAAGGAAGTGACCTAGGGAAAGGAAGTGACCTAGGAAGTGACCTAGGTCAAGGCTTGGGCTTGTGTGTGTCTTGGGTTGTCCCAGATCTTAGGCTCCCCACCCATCCAATATTGTCTGCATCCTGTATGACTTAGGACTGCAGTGTCCCACATGGAGAGTGGGGTCATGGGCCCTGGGGACAGGCTATACCTTCTTAGCTATCTCCAGCTGGAAGTCTTGCTCTACAGAGTCGAGGAGGCGGCTCTTACAGCTGGAGTAGAGCATGCGCTCCTTAATGCTGCACTTGTACCCCGGCATGGAGTAGATGAACACTGTGGGGGACAAGGAGGTGAGCCCGCATAGGTTGGGGTACCCCCATAGCAGACCCAAGCAGTGGACTTGTCATTGCTGCTCTTGGCCAGCACAGAACTGAAGTCCCTGTCATAGCGACTCACCCACAGATTCAAGGGAGTCACCCTCATGGGTATGCTTGTACAGGAAGAAGTGGTAGCGGGCAGCATCTCGGGGAACCCGGGAGGGCAGCTGGGCCACATTTGTGGGCTCTGTGTGTACCAGCTCGATAGTCTCCCGTTCCAGGTCCAGCTTCTGCGGAGGAGACGGGGAGGTGTGAGGGTATCACTGTACCCATTAGGAAGCAGGACTGGTAGGCAGGCAGGAGTGTTTGGAGGGCCCTTCTCCCTGGGGTCCCCTTCCCAAGGCTGGACCTCAGGCTGCAGGGGTTATTCTAAAGAGACCTTCCAGGCCTGGCCCCAACTCTGCCCCTTTGAAGGTTCAGCTGGGGATGAAGCTCCCACTGAGATTTGTCTGGGGTGGCGAGGAAGACCTCGATCTCAGCAAAGGCATTGCAACAACTCCATCCTCAGAGGCAAAGCCCCAGGAAAGTGTCTGTAAGGGAGAGCCATTCTGATTGGGCAGAGGAGGCAATCGGACTCTGCCTGGGAAAGAGGTGGTCAAGGAGGTTCCAGAGAAACTCTGGTATAGGACAAGTGTCAGCCCTAAGGGCCACCATAGGTGTCTATTTATTGTGAAGGTGTACAAGGCCACATGTTTACTGGGTGCCTGTTATGGCCAGGACTTGGGCGGGGGGCAGAGAGAGGAGAGGAAAACAGTAAGTTCTTCTTCTTCTTCTTTTTTTTAAAGAAAAAAAGAAAAAAGATTAAAACAGGGTCTCATGTGATTAGGTTGACCTCGAACTCACTATGTAGCCAAGGATGACCTACAGTCAGTCGGATGCTCCTGCCTCTGCCTCCTGAGGGCTGAGGCTGCAGGTGTGTGCCACCACAGCCAGTTCGACGTGCTGCTGCTGAGGATAAGCCTGGTGTGTGCTGGGCAAGCACGCCACCATCTGAGCTGCATGCTCAGTCTAAGAACAACACGGACTAGCAGAGTGGTTCAGGAGATGGAGATGGGGCTGTGCAACACATAGGCAGAAACAGGAGGAGCCCACAGTGCCCGGCCTGAGTGTGCTTACCAGCTGGATATAGTTAACTGTCTTCTGCTTGAGTTGCTGGAGAGCCCGCTGGACCTCAGGCTGCAGGGGGAAGGCCAGGCCCTGCAGGGTCTGGTGCTTGCTTTCCACGCTGATCTCGGTTTTCACCTGGGGTGGGGGCAACCACGAAGAGAGGCTTTACTATTCACAACAAGCTGCAGCCTACCATGTTTAGCAACCCCCAGGGCACACCCTACTGCGCACCCACCTCGTTGATGCGGATCTGCTGGAGCTCTCTCTCAGCCGACGTCAGTGGGGCAGGTGCGGCACAGGATGACAGGTGCTTCTGGTACCCAGTCAAGGAGAGGTCGTCCTGTGGGGAGGCTCAGAGGTAAAAATGGACACCCCAGGCAGGCAGGTGCCCACTGTGAATCTCTGCTTGCAGCTCCCAGACTCCTCATCTTTTCATTTTTTTTTAAATTTGAGACAGCATCTTATGTAGCACCAAGCTAGCCTCAAATTCACTACACAGTCAACAATGACCTTGGACTTCTGATCCTCTTGTCGCCACTTCTGAGAGCTGGGAATCAAAACTAGGGTTTAATGCATGCTAAGCAAACAATGTAACAACTATGGTGCATCCCAGCTCCCAGTCCTCCTGTTTTTCACCCTGAGCCTGGCGCTGAGTTGCTCTGTGACACTCACACTGTGCCTCACCCTCTGGTCCCCATTCTGCATTCTGGCTTGGTTGACTAACCTTTACTGTCCCGAAGAGCTCATCCTTGATGTGGCCGCCTCCAAACTCCTTCTTCACTGTGGCTCGCGTGGCTGCATACAACATCTTCAGCCGCACCTGAGATGGGGCAAATTATAAGGCCCTTGGGCCAAGCTGACGCTCTAGGGGCCAACTGCAGGGCTTGGAATCAGGTCATCTCACTGATCCCACATGCCCAGCAGGGGGCGCGGCAAAGCTGAATCAGGCAGCTTTCGCCAGCAGGGGGCGCCTCCACCCAGCTCAAACAGCCCTGATGAGTTAGGGCAGCCCCTAACATTCCTTCCCTTAGCCTTCTTAAGCCAGTCTTTCATCTGTTCCTCCACTTCCCACTGGCCCCAAGCAGGAAGATGGGCAACGGTGCCTAGGACTCACAGGAGAATTATCAGGTGACCAGGCCAGGAAGAGCCACTCGAAACCCTGGGCATTCTGAGAGTCAAGGCGGAAGAGGAGGTAGCAGGGCTCCTGGGCATCTAGCAGCGGCAGCACAGCCCTGTCGTAGTCTTGATCCCAGCGTCCCACTGGCTCCTGCGAGGCACCCAGCACGAGCTGCTCTGGGGGCAGAGGCTGGGTGAGCCGAAGCGGCGCATCCCACCTCCCCCTCCACCTGTGGACCTCTGTCCTCTGGATGTAGCTTCCTGAGCCTTCTCAGACATGCTGGCCACTCCACCCCACTTTCCCATGAGCCCTCAAATCTCCAAAGTAGGAAGTTGAATTGTGAGTGATTAAGTATGAGCAAATGAAGGAGGCCACACATGCCAGCTGCAAGGGGCTTCCTTTGCACACACCCCACACTTGCAAACGCTTGTATTCATGTACACTCATGTATTTGTGCACACACAAACACACAAAGGAACACAGCTTGTACCCACTGCCAGCAACAATGCAGTCCCCTCAAGGCACTCCTACACCGGGCGCTGCGCTGATCAGTGCATTCTTAACTGCGCATTCTTTTTTTTTTTTTAAAAATATTTATTTATTTAGTATACAATATTCTGTCTATGTGTATGCCTACAGGCCAGAAGAAGGCGCCAGACCCCATTACAGATGGTTGTGAGCCACCATGTGGTTGCTGGGAATTGAACTCGGGACCTTTGGAAGAGCAGGCAATGCTCTTAACCACTGAGCCATCTCTCCAGCCCCTTAACTGCGCATTCTTAACTGTGTATGATTTCTTGCTCTCAAATCCCTCAACCACTGGCTCTGATATGCCCATCTTAGGACAGTGTGCTAGGGGAGAGGCCACCACGCCTAGCTTCAGCCCTCTCCCTCAAAGTAAAAACCAATAGCAGCCAACTACTTTTTTAAAACAGGGTTTCACGCCAGGCAGTGGTAGTGCACACCTTTAATCCCAACACTCGGGAGGCAGAGGCAGGCAGACCTTTGTGAGTTCGAGACCAGCCTGGTCTACAAGAGCTAGTTCCAGGACAGGCTCCAAAGCTACAGAGAAACCCTGTCTCAAAGAAAAAAAAAAAAAAAAAAAAAAAAAGACAGGGTTTCACTACATAGCCCCATCTGACCCTGAACTTATGATCCTCCTGCAATGGTCATCAGCCTTTTGGAGGCTTGGGATTACATATGGGCATCATCATGCCCGGCTTCTGCTTGTGGTTGTTTTTGATACAAAATCTTGCTATACAGCCCAGGCGGCTAGCCTTTAACGTGCAATCTTCCTGCCTCAGCTTTCCAAGTGCTGGGACTACAGGAATATGTCACCCAGTTTATCTAACAACCAACTTATTATTTTTTATTTATTATTATTATTAATTTTGAGACAGGGTTTTTCTGTAGCTTTGGAGCCTGTCCTGGAACTGCCTCTTGTAGACTAGGCTGGCCTCAAACTCATAGAGCTCTGCCTGCCTCTGCCTCCAGAGTGCTGGGATTAAAGGTGTGTGCCACCACCACCTGGCTATTACTATTATTATTAGTGTGTGTGTGACATCTATGAGTATGGGTGCGTGCATCTCACAGTGTGCATGCAGAAGTCAGAAGACAACTTTCAGGACTCAGTCCACTGTAAGTTCCAGGGACTGAACTCAGGTGGTTGAGCAGCAAATACTTTTACCCACTGAGCCATCATGTTGGCCAGCCTGGTCCTGACAGACCTACCACCTTTCTGGCCAAGCAGGTCATCCAATCACAGTTTTAGGCTGAGACATCATTCAGACACCATACATGTACTTGGTCACACATGCTAACCCAGAGGAAGAACTGGGCAATGGTGATCCTAGCTGGGTCACGGGTGATCCTAGCTGGACCACGTCAGCACTTCACTAGATCCCACCAGGTCTTTTGGATAGGGTCAAGAATCCAGCTGCCTGAGAATCTAACATGTGAGGCCTCCAGTCTAACCAGCTCTATAGGTCCTGGCTTCCTTGCCTGCCTACCCAGAACTCAGAAGGGAATCAGGGTTGAAAGTTAGCAGTTAAAGCTGGACAGTGGTGGGGCAAGCCTTTAATCCCAGCACTTGGGAGGCAGAGGCAGGCGGATCTCTGTGAGTTCGAGGCCAGCCTGGACTACACAGCGAGTTCTAGGACAGCCAGGGAAACACAGAGAAATCTTGTCTTGAAATCCTGACTCCTCCCCCCC